ATTCTACGTAGATAATATACTACTTATATTTTATAAATAAAGCTTATAAAAAGCTTTTAAAGTTATTAATACTATAAAGTAAGTATATAACGTAGAAGAAAAAAGACTAGTAGAGTAGTTCTTAGAAGTAAGAGTTTTTTATAATAGAGTAGTAAGATTAATAATACTTATATATAATAAGTATATTAATAAAATTACTAAAAAGTTTAATATTAATAGCTTATTACTTAACTTAAGTACTTTACTACTAAGTAAAAAGCTAGTTAAGAACTTATTAGAGGCCTTAAAGTAAGAGGTAAAGAGCTTTTAAAAATAAGTAAGATTAGTACTATATATAGTAATTATACTAAGACTAGACGTAGTATATATAGCTTCTAAGCTATTATATTTCTTTATAAACTTAAGTAAAGCTTACTTTAAAGTAGTAAATAGAATTATACTATACTTATATTATACGCGCTACTAAGCTATATAATATAAAGTAAACTTAGAAGTAAAGCTTATAATCTATAAAAACGCTTTCTTTATAGATAACTAAGAGATAAAACGCTTATTATAAGGCTACTTTATAATACTTTTTAAAAGACTAATAGTATAAAAAGTAGTATAGTAAGTAATAGTAACTATATTAACTACTAAAGTAGAGCTCTTTATACTAGAATATATAAGTAGAGAAGTAATAGCGTTAAAATATTTCTTTAAAGAACTTACGCTCTTACTAGGCTTACTATAGACTATTTTTTATAATAACTAATAAATAATAAAGCTTATAGTTAAAGCAAATAAGTGTATAATAATAAAACTACGCTATATTAATATATAAAATATATAGTTATATTAAGACTACGCTAAAGAATTATTTAAAGTAGAGTACTTAGAGATAAAAAGTATACTAGTAGATAGACTTATAAAGAACTTTAGCGCTTAGTAGTTTATACACTTTAAAGAGTAGCTAAATATAAAGGAAGTTAGAGTATTAGTTATATTATAAAGTATAATAAAGTAAAATATTAGTTTAGAGCAGCGCGTAGCCTACTACTAATATAATAGAATTAACTACTAAAATAGTTAAGAGCACTCTATAAAGAAGTAACTACTAAAATATATTAGATAACTAAAGGAAAGCTTATAAAGAGCTCTTAAGAGAGAAAATAAGTACTAAAAGAGTAACTAGTAATTATTAAAAGCGCTACTATACTTAAAAGCAATTATAACGCAAAGCGCTTTTTTTTTTAGTAGAGAGCTTATAACCTAACTTACTAATAAGCTTTATATAGATAAACTACTATATATTTAAAAAAGCTAAAGAATTAAAAGCTATAAAAGAACTAACTATAAAGGTATTATTAAAGTTACTAATATTATTATTAAGAGTATTACTAAAAGAAAAGTATAGCTCTAAGAGCTATTTAGAATTAAAAATAACACGCTTATTAGTAGAACCTTAATAGATCTCTTTTTTAGTAATAAGCGCTTTAAACTTAGCTTTAAACTTACTAGTAATATTTTTAGTAATTAAAGTCTACTTTATAGTATATTAAGTTTTAAAACTAAAGTAGAAAGCTTTTTAAAGCTTAAGAGCTTTACTTTTAATCTTAAAATACTTAAGAAGGATAGTTAAAAATACTCTAAAATAAGAATAAAAAAGTATACTTATAACTTAATATAGCTATAACTATTATAAGCGTAACGCTAGTAATAATTATTCTAACTATTAGTTATAGTACTATTAGAGTTCCTATAATTAAGAAAGTTACTCTTACTAGATACTTAGCTCTAGTAGTAATTTATATAAGGCTTGTTTTATATATTATTAGTATATGCTTTTTACTATTTACTAAGTTTAGTAACTTAACTAAGAGCTTATTACTTACTCTTAGACTCTTTAGTGTAAGCTTTATAGTAACGCTTAGTAAGATATTTATAAAAAGCTTCTAACTTACTAGAAGCCTTACTAAAGACCTTAGAACTATTACTATTATTATTATAAAAAGTGTAAAGATTATTAATTTCTTTAAAGTTACTATTAAAGAAAGCTTTAGCTATAGTAGATAAAGACTTTTTAGAAGCGTAGGTCTGCTTAGTAGTATAAGCTTTATTAGTAGTAAGCCTCTAAGCTTATTACTTATTATCTTTACTCTTATTAGCTTTTAACTTAAAATAAGTAAAATATATAGCTTTAAGCTTAGGCTAGAAGCCTAAAAGAAAATATATAAAAAGAAGAGAGATAACTATAGATAGTATAGTAGAAGCTAGAAGCTTAAGAGACTTAGGTAAAACTTTAATAGAGATAATAGAACTTAAAAGCTTAGAAGTTTTAAGTAAATACTTATTATTAGTAGTAAGAGTACTAAAAAGTATAGAAAAAAATAACTAAGTACTAAACTTTTTTAAAAGCTACGTAAATAGCTTTAACTTACTCTTTAGTAGCGCTAAGAGCTTAGATCTTACTAGAACCTAAGAACTTACTATAAGAAGAGAGGCTAAAGCGCTTTACTAGTTAAAAAAAGGCTTATATAAAGAAATAAGCTTTTTACTAGTATAAAACTTAATACTACTAAAGTAGAGAGTAACTAAGAGAGTACTAGATATAGCTAAAATATTCTAAGAAAGCTTACTAATAAAAAGCTTTAAAGAAGTAATAGAGAAAAAAAGAATAAAGCTCTAGCTTTTTACTTTCTACTTTACTTTCTTAGTAATTTTAAGCTTTTTAGCCCTCTTCTCTTTTTTAAGTACTTTATCTACTTTATCTTAGTGCTTTTTTTATATTTAAGCTTTATAGACTTAGTCTTTTTAATTTAATAGACGTAAAGCGTTATTCTTAGCTTTATAAGTATTAGTAAAAAAGTAAAAAGTAGTAAAATTATAACTTATAATTAAGCGCTTTTTAGAGGTATAAAAAAGGTTACTAAACTTAGATAAAGTAATAACTAGAAAGCTTATAGACTTAAAAGAAAGTATAAAAGTACTACTAATAAGAACTAAAAGCTTTAAAAATAAAAGCAAAGCTTTAAAAAACTTTTAGTAATAACTTTAGAGTTTTTATTAATAAGCTTAAATAATTTACTAAAAAGCTTACTAGCTTATCTACGCTTACTTTTCTAAAACTACTTTTTACGCTTATAATACCTATTACTAGAAGAGCCTATAAAGAACTAGTAAGTAAGAAACTTAGAAGCTAAAGATAACTTAACTAAGCTCTTATTACTAAAGCGTAAGCTTATAAAGTTAAATACGTTCTTAGAGCGCTTACTATAAGATAATATTTTTAATAATAAACTAGTACGCTTTTTCTTAGAAGAAGTAGTTAGAGTTAATAAAGAAATAGTTATTTTAACTAAAGTACGTGTAGTATAGTAGAGAGCTTAGAGAGAAAAATAACTAATTAATTAATAGTAATAATCTATAGTAAGAGTATTAGTAGTAATTATAGCTTATAGAAGCTAATACTTACTAAAAGTACTATAGTAGGGTAGTTTAAGAGCGTATTAAAAGTAATACTAGTAAGCTATAAAGAGTTATATACGCTTAAGTAAGCGTATAGACTAATAATAACTAAGCTCTTATAGAAGACTAGATAAAGTAATAAAAGAATATATTTTTAATTATAGAAAGCTTATAAGCACTTTATAACGCTTACTTAAGAAGTATATAATAAAAACTATATAGTATAAAAGAGCTTTAATACTTAGTACCTTAGGAATTACTAAACTAGAAGAGAGTATACTAGTAGTGCTCTCTATATAAAAGTAAAGCTCTAAAGAGCTTTACTATAATTAATAATCTATTTCCTATTTATTTTTATGCTCTGCGACGTAATATAACTTAATAAAATACTAGCTATTATTATAGAATTACTATTCTTGCTTTAGTAAGCTTATACTTAATATACTATTTATTCTAGCGTTATGCTATAAGTATAAGCGTATATTTAGTAAGCTAAGAGACTTATTAGAGCCTTACTAATAAGCTATATAACTTTAGCTATTAGTAGTAATATAGTGCGTATAATAGTAGTAAAAAGCTAGTTTAAGTAATAATAATAATATAAGCTATATAAACTCTATAACTAATAGTAATATAGAGATATTATATAGTATAGATATATAGGACAACAATATTAATAGTGTTATAGATAGTAATAATAAGACTTAACACTATAAATAGTTATAATACTCTAGTTTTATAGCCTTATAAACGCTATACTATTAATCTAATTAATTAAGTTAATTAATCTAAGAGTTTTTAATTAATTAATCTTCTTAATTAAGCTAAATTACTATAGGACGTTAAGTTAATTCAATCTAGGGTGCTTAGATTAATTAGCTTAATTGTTAACAAGTCTGCTAATCTGATGTGAGAGCTATAAGTTTATTAGCACGCCCTTGCGGAGGGCTACACGTTTACGAAGCATGTTTCCTTGAAACATAATTTCTATCCTATACACCAAGGTGAGCTAACGTTTGCAGCCTTATTGGTGATTTTTTTTCAATAATTGAGCCTATATAACTCTTAGATAAGGGCAAAACCCACCTTTAGTGCGTTAAAAGGCTATAGCTCTCTATTGCCGCTTGCAAAAAGCGCGAAAGAGGCACTAGTAAAAACGAACTATCCTAGGGGTGTAAAAGCCAGCTATAACGATTCTATAGAGGTAATAAAATGCTTCTTAGGCCTTAGAAGTGTTCCTGTGGTATTTGATGAAGTATAAAAACTAAAGAGGTAGGCTGTGGGCGTTGCGCGTAGTTCTAAGGCGAGTACATGGGCACAGCTACTGTTTAAGGGAATTTCGGTATCCCGCACATCACTTATTAGCACCGAAAAAAGTGATCAATTCCTTCGGGAACTGGCCATTTTTGTCCCGCTACGTATAAGACTGGTGTAAAAGCCAAGCCCGGCTGATTTTCCACATTTTCGGATCCCATATCTTGATGTTGGAACTATTCCCGAGCAGTCGTCCTCAACTCTTTGTACCATTCCTGGAACTCCTTCGTTACGTTCATTTAGTGCCATGCGATAAACATCATCATCGGCCACATATTGGTGCGGCGACTATCGAACTGAATCGAAATGACGGCAGTAGTGTTGTTTGGATCCATAGCCGCGTCGCGCATGTGAAGTGATCCAGATTGCTCTCCCTCAAGTCTTGCACGTATATCCTTGTTGAGTTGCCATTGTTTCTGTAACGTAGCCACAGTATCGTCGTGTTCCTTCTTTATCCGATGCCCAGACGCCAGAGGGCGTTGTTTGTCATCCCGCACATCTTTGGCTGTCTCTTCCTCATCCTTCTCCACCGCCATGTCCTTGGCATTCCTCGCTTCCTTATTGCAAGGGCAAACTGCCATCTATAGCCTGGAAAACCACCGGCGCATGAGTATTGACACTTTTGAAGAAGCCATGCACCCAGTTCTGATCGATATTAGGCTCAAGTTTGCACGGAGGCGCGGCTGGGAAGGAACTAACACTCAAAGAGAGCAAGAAACTCGTTCGGTCGACTCGACTGGTGAGAAGACTCGTTCCTTCTACTCATTCGCTGGTCGTGTCTGCGCCGTACAAGGCAGCAAATGATATATCCCCATTTCCGTTGGATATATCACTCAAGATTGAGGGCCATAGCGTTCTGAGGTTTGATACAAACTCGCAAGCGCAGGATATCCCGTCTAGAGACTGCTCACGGTGGTTAGCAACTCATGTTTGGTGATTTCTTGAGTCGTCATGAGGAGGCTTCCAGCGGCGAGATTGGCCCAATCCAAGTTTCGGTCGTCTCGCAGATTGGGATCGACACCAAAACTACTTTCTGAATTGTTGAAAAAAGAATGATAGGGCTGGTCGATCTCTGCCGCCACGACACAAGAGAATCGATCAATGGTACTGAGGAGTACTTCACTGGTATGTATTCAAGCCACAATTCATCGCTGGTAGGCGTACTAGTGCTAGCAGTTTAGCTAGCGGCAAACCAGTCCGCTGAGAGCAATCTAGACTGCGGAGGCCACGCAAACTACCCTGCCCACAGCCTGGACCATAGAGACCATGAACCCATTGAAACAAGCAATTGAAAGGCAAATCGCGACACACTATCCAATCGGTGAATGGCGGTCTGCGAATATGTTTGCAGAGAGCACAGAGCGTCTTCGCATTGCGATCAAATTGCTACGCGGAGTGCCACCACTCAACGCGGCAAACGGAGTCTTAGGGAATCTTTCGTATCGACCACTGGGTTTGACAGTAGGACAGGTGCAGCCAGCCAAAGCAAAGCTCAACATTAAACACGGCATGCACTCAGCAGCTATCACAAGCGTGGCTAACTTATCATGCTTTAATCTGTATTTATAGTGTGCACTTCTAGATTACTGTTGACCACACTTTCTAACCACAAGCGACTAGCTCATCTCACCTGTCAGATTCCAGTACAGTCCCTCGGTTGCCACTTGTCCTGCCTTCGCAATTTGTCGGGAGTGACAGGTGACTCCAGCGAAGATAGTTCAACAGGGGCTTGTAAAGCCACATTGCTGGATAGCGCGTCTTGCCCTTCTAGAAAAAGCATATGTCTTCCGTAATGAACTCTCAAGTACAAGGTATTTTGTTAGTTCTTATCACATCTTATCAAACTAAAGAGAAAACTAAGGTTGTAGACGAAGATAAAAGAGCAAAGAGCTCTAGCCTGTTAAGCGTGAATAGCAAAAGAGCGGATCAAGAGCTGCTTAAAAAAACACACAGAAGCTCTAACTAGCGTGCTTATCAATCCTTTACTCCTGTCCCTTTTTTATGTATCCTATTCGCTTAAGCATTAGTCCGAATAAGTTTCAGCCTAATTAGATGATGTTTGAATAGAAGGATCCAAGAAGAAACCTGCTAAACACGAGTCTTTTGTACTAATCGCATCGCTATCGTGCCCCCTCCTCTAATTATCTAGAAACATAGTGTATAGCAGACTTCACGCACAGAGGAGCAGGCTGGTGAGGAGATAGCTTGTATTCGGAGTAAAGAGAATAGCAGGCAGAGGATAGAAGAGAGGAAGAGAAAGCGCTCTTTGAAGCCTTTCACTCTCTTCATGCAATAGTTTAGCAAAGAGAAGAGGCTATGTTCTTACATGTAGGCTACCATAAAACTGCAGCACTTCTTAAGCTGCCTCTTAGATATCTATAGGTTCATACAGCTCCTAAATACTATTGAAATTATGTGCATAAAGTCCTCGAGGACCACTTGATATAACTAATCAGGAAATTTGTAAGAGCCAATTTATTACGTGTCTTGTTTCTTCGACCTAAAGGACTGAAAGTCGTGACAAGGTACCGAGATCTGAAGTAAGCTTATGCTACACTTATATGTCTGGATTCTGACGAAAGAAATCTTCGAGACTCGTCTGTTTAACGGTTGAAAAACGTGCCACATCCACTGGCTCATAGTCCCAGGTGCGTTTCGGAATATGATACTGGTAGACGTACCAGAGATATTTGTAGAACTCTCTCTTCGAATACCTAGTTCTGCCATCATCTATGCAGGCTTTTGCATCCTCTAGGCTCCCCAGGCTGTTTAGCTTAGCTGTAGAATAGCCACCTCTCGCAGCAGAATATGCCTTAGCAACGTCGTTAGGCGAGGCCTCAAAGCTCTGTACGCGAATGTAGCCTCCATCAGCAGCATCTGGCGCAGAGATAGCCTCCATAACATACTCAGCTATATCTCTTGTTGTAGTATAACGCGTCAGGGATGAGGAAGAGCCGTAGAAAGAAAATGTTTTCGATTCAGGGTCCCAGTCAAAAGGGCTCTTTCGGAAATACCATTCGGCAATTGCACCCGTGAACATGTACTTGAGTCGGTCGTCAGTATTGACAAGGCTGGGTGAGTGGCACGTCGCCTGGAATATGACATACAAGAGGCTTGATAGTCGAGCTTATCTCGACATGATGCGCAAAATTTCTCCAGTCGTCATACAGTTCGTGTGTGCCAACTCCACGTGTCCAGTCATAGTTGAAAGAGGTAGAATGGTAGATCTAGATCTTCGTTAGCCATTTACGCATCTCCAGTTGTATATAGGTGTACCTTTACGCCAGCACGCTCTGCTGCACGAATAAGCAGCAGTTGACCCTCCATGACAGACTCCGGAACAGAAGTCATGGTGTTGACGATAACATCAACGCCTGCAACCGCGCGATCGAATGCAGAGATATCGTAGTAGTCAAACATCGTTTCAAAGCCCTCAAGCTTGTCAAGTATTTCTCCGGGAAGCTTGCTGGCATCTCGTGCAAGCCCGCGAACTTGATAGCCTCGTGTTATAGCAGCTTTCGCACAAGGTACGCCGACAAACCCCGTGATTCCAGCGATAAGAACAAGCATGGCAAAGAAAGATTATCGAAGTCTGTAAACCCGAAACTCAATCAATAGAGCATGTACGGCAACGAGGTAATTTGCTAAGGGTAACGATCGGTATTGTGAAACGCCAAAAAGATGGAAGGGGTCTGTACACCACGAGTATAGAACAATTTTGAGGTTGGGCTTGCGAGAGCTAGCAGTGCGAATTTCAAATCAAAAGCGCGGATTTTAAATCAACTGGGTTATTGCTTAGAAATAGGATCTTAGTGTTGTACGTTCTCGGAGACGATACGGCGCTGCAGGAGTCGAGATCGAGCGGCGAGCGTCTGGCGCAAGCCGGAATGCTTTGCTAGTTTCGGACTCGCGCACCTGGCGCTCCGATCCAGCACGTAACGACCTAGTGCAGAATTGTCGTACGATTCAAGATTCGCGCTCGGTCTGTCAGTAGCTGCCCTGGTTGTCTAGATAGCGCGGCGTACTTCACAATAGGTGTTTACTACCTACGTCTACTGTGCTAATGCCCGAACTCTCCCTCACTATCCTTGTAACGTGGAGCAAGTACTATCACCTACCGTTACGACTCTTGCACAAACGAATTAGAATGAAATTACCCACTTGCTCAGCCTCACGTTCTTGTGAGAGATATATAGAGTTTAGTTACACTGCGTAAGGTATACACCCAAATCGCTCAATTTTTACTGTTCGAAGCAGTCTCCTGGTTCTGTTTTACTTATCGAAAATAGTCACAAGACACTCAATCTCTATTTTGTTCCCAAGCGAAGCTAGCAGCACACTCCATGGCAAAGCCAAAACATCGCGCATACCATCCTTGCGACCAATAGCTCAGCTCAACACAATGAGGAGCACCTTGTAGGAGACTTCCGTCCACGCGTACACTGTTAGTAAACGCTTGTACGCATCGCTCGACCTCCCCCACTGTAGAGACGAAGAAAGGATCATCGTCAACAAGTGAATACATTACAGGTGTTTTTACTGCCTTGGCCCATTTTTCTTTCCATACTGGCATCCATTCAGTTGAGAACCCAGTAATTTCTGGTATAGGGCAAATAGCATTTAAGCGTTCGCTTTCTCCAAGCATTTCTAGTGGAAATGTTCCCTGTTTAAACATAACAGAGTCCTTCATTTTTACATCCATCAGTGCGTGATTGTCATCGACGCGAGGATAGGAAGGAGTGGTGCCTTTCATTGACGCAGATTGCTCATTGCCCATGCCACTGGCAATCAAGCCACCTAGAGGATAGAGTGGCGTTTTGTCTTGCGCGTGCATGGCAGCGGTTGCGACGCCTACCATAACACCCAGACTGTGGCAAAGCAACACGATACAATTGCAACCACTTGGCGCTCCGAGTCTAGACCAGATTTCTGGAAGTATTGAGTTGTGCATCGCAAGGGCGCTTTCTTGAGTGAAATCGGATCCTTCCGGGATAGGTAGAACCGAGCTTGTGCCGCCGTATGATGGTCGATCGATTGTAATAAAGGGGATGCCAAACGCGTGGCTTGCAACTGATGCGGAGTACTTTGGGAGGGCATCGAAATATTGATGATCGTAGCATCCACCATGAAGGCCAACGACTAGAGGGCGAAAGTCGACCTGCGCGGGAGATGGAGAAGGCGATGGGATATAATGAGCGCCTGTGAGTGTGCCATTGTTGGGAAGCGTCCACTGGAAGGATTCCATAATGAATGAGATATAGATCAACTCTCGCCCTCAAGTCACTTCTCATTTATCTTGAAGGACCACAGACTAGTTAACATAATTCTTGAATGCTCGATCGGCTTTAGGTGGACATTACTTCACTTCCTTCGACCTGATGTGCAAAAGCTTGAAAAGATTTCAGCGCCCTGTTGCGATTCCACTTTATCCCCACCACAGGCGCTGATTGCGAAAAACTTTTCCGTGGTGCGGATTAACAGAAAGGTGTTTAACGGCGATAAGCTTCAGCCGGACATCGAGGCCTAGACCGAAAACGAAAACGAAAGCGAGACCGACAGCGAGACCGACAGCGAGACCGATATCGCTGTGCGATCGCTGGCGCAGAGGTAATGTCACACCACCCACTAGCATTAAGTCACGGCATCAAGCAGCACGTGTTACGGTATTAGTGAGCAAAAATCTTGATCCGATAAAATCTAAAGCATGAGCAAATCATGAGCAATAATTGATTGTCAAGCAATATGCAGCTACACCTAGCCACGGACTAAGTCGGATGGACAAGTCAAACTTTAATCTATCCGACACTTGCCCTTTTCTCGACACAATCCAACGTAGAATGGGCTAGGTTGTCCAATGAGGTGTTGCTGTACAGAATATGCCGTTGTAGATGAACTCGCTTTTATCACGTGTGATCTGGATATCGCTAGGTATGCTGACGTACCACTCGCCATTACTATAGACACGGCATAGTGACTCCATCTTTCTGTTCCTTGAATATGAATCTATAAATTCACTATTATTTTCCTGAGGTTCTTAGATCATTATCAACATCAAAGTCGTTTTATGGATCCTAGGTATTCTCCATCAGTTCTCTAGCTTGTGTAAATGAGTTTCCAATACCACACTCAGAAAGTATCCAAGCTGATGTCAGAAGAAATGCCTTGCACTTTATACAGAAATGACTGACGGCTCTGTGCGATTCGATGGTCGTGTCGCAATCGTGACGGGCTCTGGTCGAGGTCTTGGTCGCGAATACGCAGTCTCTCTTGGTCGCTTAGGAGCTGCTGTAGTTGTGAACAGCACCAAGGAAAAGACGGCTCAAAGTACAGCCGAAGAGATCATAAGGGCGGGCGGGACGGCGGTAGCCGTTGTTGGTAGCGTCGCCGACCGACTTACTGCGGACTCACTAGTGGAAGCTGCTGTGAAGAATTTTGGACGGGTCGATATCGTTATTAATGATGCGGGCTCCGGCGACTCCGCTAATTTTGAGAATGAAATGACCTCGAAACTCTCGGACAGCTTCAGTGTACATGTTGTAGGAGCGTGGAATGTTACTCAGGCAGCATGGCCGTACATGAAAGCAGTTCCGCGTTCAGTACTCAAACGGTGAGGATACAGGTATCAAGGCGTCAAGAGTTGTGTTCACTGAGCGCTATAGTTTGTGAGTGGAGTACTTTTGACAGACCTTTTGCATACATCGCCTATTAGATAGCAGACCTCGTCGGTAAGCAATTACACCTGTTTTATGTTCGTAAAGGACAGTCGGAGCCGGAAATGAACAGTCTCGATTGAGGCTAAAACAACGCTAGGGTTCATTCGTACCCACAAATGAGGCTTCTACCACTGGATCACTTTCATACAAGACACTGTTCTCATATTGACCTCTTTAGGATGAGACAGTTGCACAATTTTTCCTCTACTAAAGTAGGGTCCTGCATCCAAGGCCTACTCGAGAGTAAAGCGGCTCAACCAAGCAGTCACTTGAGAATACTGATATATGACAGCGACCCGTGCACAGCCAATGAAGTCACGTCAAGCTCATGAACGCGAGTGCCTTTGAGCAGAAAAATGAAAAGTATCTTGATATGAGAATGCTTTTAAGTATGCACTAATGCTGCGGCTATTCGACGGGCAATTTGGTCCGAAAACAGCCGAATTTTGTCCGTGTCGCCTATATTATCACAGCAAGATCTCTGTAGAATTGAATATGCACCTTCCCCTGGCCCTCAACTTATTCTCAACTTTATTCTCCGACATTCCATACACGTCTTCGTTAGTGCCTTCGACTCCAGTATATCCAGGATCGTACGTCACAGATAGGCAGCCATACAATAATATGGCAGAGCAACGGAACATCGTTGTGCTTGGTGCAAGCGCTGCAGGAGTCCCCACTACACATTATATCCTGAAGCATATCTTGCCACCTCTCAAGGCTAAGGATGATGCGGTATACCATGTGTATATGATAGCTCCATCGTCAGCAATGTATTATCGAGTAGGGTCACCGAGGGTTGCAGCATCGACGGCGCGGATGTCGACGGATCGGATCGTCCTAGATCTCAGCAAAGGTTTCGAGCATTATCCTGCAAACGACTTTACCTTCGTTGAGGCTTTGGCAACTAGTCTTGACACGACATCACGCACGATATCCTACTGTAAAGAGACGACCTCTGAGGAAGAGCGTCTTTCGTACCATGCTCTAATCATAGCAACTGGTAGCAGGACGTACCACCAGGCCTTCTCGCAAAGCGGAAACCTTTCGACTACCCTAGACGCAATTCAGGATATCAATACCAAGGTTGAGACTGCGCAGAAGATAGTTATTGTCGGCGGTGGTCCAACTGGTGTCGAATTTGCCGGTGAAGTAGCTGAGCATCGTAACGGCAAGCCCGGCTGGTTTCACGTCATAAAACCCAACGCAGAGATTACTCTCATCACTAGTGGCAAGCGTCTACTCCCGACTCTTCGACATTCCATCGGTAAAGCCGCTGAGGCAAAGCTGATTGCCTTGGGCGTCGACGTTACCTATGGTACGCGCGTGACCAATACAAGTATTGAAAACGGGAGCACGAAGATCACATTGCAAGACGGCAAGGAACTCCAAGCAGATTTGTATGTTCCCGCTCACGGAGTTCAGCCAAATTCGTCATGGTTGCCCCAAGAACTCCTTGACGAGAAGATGTATCTCAAGACGAATAGCCAAACTCTCCGGGTTGACACTGCCGGTCCACGCGTTTATGCCCTCGGGGACATTGCTTCATACTCAAACAACAATATACAAAGCATTACGGATGGCCAGCCAGTGCTTTACATCAACCTGAAACGAGATTTGCTCTCATTCGATCCCAGATCACCCGACGCGGGACCTAAGGGTAACGACAAAATATATACACCAGAGACAAGAGAGAATCAGATTGTACCGATTGGCAGTCAAGGCGGCGTGGGTGCAATTTTAGGATACAGACTACCGAGTTTTCTAGTGTGGCTGATCAAGGGTAGGGACTACATGGTGAAGATGTATGGGGTACCCATGGCAAGCGGAGCTAGCGTGAGTAGGGAGTTCACGTGGACTGAAGAGAGTACAAATTAACTTGTTCTACCAACTGAGCGATAGATAGTGTATCAACCCATACAATTGGGAAACTTGTGTAATCCTGTCGCTTGTCGTTCAAGTATCAGTATCATCCTCGCTCAACGCCACCACAGTCTTTTGTATCTTACCAAGACAGTCATTGCCAGCCTTTCTGATCTTCTGCTTGCGTTTCTTCATACACACTTACCATGTTTGTTGCATCAGATGAGGGCACGCCTACGCTGGTGGATAGGTCGCGTGAAGGTGAACTTAGGTGTCCTGAATAGGTAATGACTAGACTGAGTTAAGGACGGTTGCTATCAAGCTCTCTATAACTATAGGTATGTAGGAGCCAGTAAATCAATTATAAATTTATTAGTAGGCGACAGCTCAGCTCCCTAATTGTGTTCGTCCGCTCAGTCCTCTTATCCTGTGCTTTTATAATTCGTTTTCTCCGGTAGATCTGGTAACCACAGAACATGATCAGCAATACCGAGTTGGTCAACCACAGAAGCTACGCATAATATAACCCTGATGTCAGATGAGAAGACACCAATGGTGGAGCGATAGCAGCTCCCAGATAATGGCTGCGTAACGCTACGATGCAACATGTTGCATGCTAGCATCAAAAACGTCCCCTGAGGCTACTGGTCACCAACAACCCTGCATCCAGCGAGATTCCTTTGCATGCCGGGCCTTATTCGAGAGTTGCTATGTTGCATCAAGTAGGCCACGCAAGTGTGACTCAGTCAAGGTCTATAACAAGAGGTAAAGTTCTATCTATAAATCCCGCTACACGTCGCATCGTCCCAAGATTTGGGGCAATACGCAGCTCATCGAGCAGGGGTGAAAAGTGAGCCAATATGTCTGGATACGGAGGAAGGGTCAAACTTGAGTGATGCGCAGATCTATGCCTATCAAGGTAGAGACTCTATACAGGATACAGCCGCGCGGTTCGCGTCGGCCACCGTAAGTTGTTACATCACAACCCTCAACCCCGTTTTCAACGTTCTCCCGCGGTCTTGAACCAATCCTTCAATCCGTTCTGTTGATTCTAGAGATGAGTGATGACCAGGCCATGTGATTCTGGAAACATGGTGGCTGTGTACAGAACATGGTCGGCCCCGAGTGACCAGGCGATGATTACGGTCCCCGAAAGCTAAAATAAATACTCCGAGCGACTGCTTTTAAACTCGTTGGACTTTCTCCTTACCTGGCGAAAGAATGACTGTAATCACGCCCGTCCCGCTTTTTCCTTGGAAATCCAGCAGCTTATGCGCCACCTGCCGCTGGGTCGCGAATCACCATACGACTCGAAGATACTTCGCGAGACCTTTGAAGATCGCAGCTGTCAGAGGTTGCGTTCTCTGCAGATACCTCTACGAGGAGCTCGTTGTCCGTTCTTTCGGGCGGCTCACAAAGGACGTTCATCTTGAAGTAACTCGAGATGGATCGTGTTTAAGTGTAGTCGGCTTTGACAACACCGTGCATCAATTCGAGATCTTTACCGAGCGTAGGCATAGACGAGATTATACTACGTGTCCGATACTTACGTACGACAGGTGAACACCCAAGCAGCGAGACGCCTTACAGAAGGATACATGCACAACCTGACTCCGAGTCCTGTTGGAACTTGATACATATATGGCTCGACAAATGTACTTCTACTCACACATGTTGTCCTCAAGACCATGCGCCTCCGATGTCAAACATACTGCTGAACGTGAATACGCTAAGATTGGTGTATGGGTCGACTTGTGAAGGAGACACGCGTTATGCCGTACTGAGCCATTGTTGGGGTGCTGCCGGCACTCTTGCGACGACTCTAAGGGCAACAATGGAGAGTTTCAAGACAGGCTCGACTTGCATTACCTTCCATCAAATTTCCGAGATGCCATCTACGCGACCAGGCGGTTGGGTCTTTCGCTGCTATGGGTAGACGCGCTTTGCATTGTGCAGGATGATGCAGAGAGCCGCAGCCTGGACGTTAGCAACATGGGAAGCTACCATCGAAACGCGTATATCACGTTATCTATATTAAGCGCACACGACTCGTACGTCGGCTTCCTCAATCCTCGAGAGTCAGCCCCGACAACCAGTCTGGGCCAAAATCTTCATCTCCGCCGAGCGCGACCATCATGGAACCAGGTACCACGAGAATCTCCGCTAAGCAAGCGAGCATGAGTATTACAGGAACGGTTACTGTCGAAGAGAATAGTGCACTTCGAGAAGAACGAGGTATTCTGGGAATGTCTTGAGAGCCCAAGTAGAGAGGGAAGTGTGGAAGACGAGCCAGAAGCGTGTGATGAGGGCGGCTGGACTAAAGAGACCTTTAAGCGCTGCCTAAGTTTCTCCAACAAGAACGTCGTAGGCGAGTTCGCCGGACGCACCGTTCAGAACGAATCCTTCATGGTGCAATGGTATCGCATCTTGTGTCAATATTCTGGTCTGAGTCTTACCTACAGAAGCGATGTCTTCCTCGCAATCGCTGGGATTGCGGAGATATTTCGCGACATCACGAGCTTTACGTACAAGTCTGGTTTATGGATCGAAGACGCTCATTCAGGGCTTCTGTGGCACGCTGAAGGATCATTGATGTCCGCGCGGAAGCCTACGGCCACATCCAATGCGCCTTCTTGGTCGTGGGCATCTCTGGACGGTCCAGTAAGTATGCTCTTTAGTCTGAGTCGAGCAACATGCCTAGCGATCTTGCGGCGCAGATTCTTGAATGTCAGCCCGGTCCCTTGCGAGCGGGTCTCCGCAATGCGCATACGTACGACGATATTCTGATGATGGATGCTTTGTGTATCAACGTCAGCTGCCGATCGAGCTCAAACGGAGATGCGCCATATAGCGACCCATATCTTCGCATGGTGATCGATATATTCGATGAGCGAGGTATCTGCATTGGCACAGATTACTTGGATCAAATCCCAGAAAGCAACATCATCCAATGTAAGGCTATCGTCGTATCGCAAAGACTGGAACTCGGTCTTAGCCATGTTCCCATAACATATTTCCTGCTCGTTATAGAGTCGAGTTGCGCGGATGCCTGTCACCAACGAGTCGGTATCGGACAGACAGCAGATAGGATCTATGGCCATGTGCTCAACACATTGAACCTAAAGCGCGGGCGTAATCAAAAGATCATCATTGTATAGATAACTATGGAATGCTAGACTCCACTCCTTCATATCGATTCTCCTCCTCTCACCGATAGCCCACCGATCGAAAAGCATACCGCCAAATCTTGGTCCTGTCTGAACCTCGAGCATCTCGTAAAAAATTGCATATTCCTTTGAGATCTTTCCTTCTTCAAGCCATTCCAGAAGCAAAAAGTCGCTGAATCGGGGATGGACCACGTAGTTGTTCTCCCTTAATCGGTACCTCAAACATACCTCTTTGAGGCCTTGCATTCCACTAAGTAGTGACAGCAGATCTCTGTACCGCTTGATAAAAGTATCGCAACGATTCCAGAAGAGAGTGATGACGAGAATGACCTTTCGGATAGAGGCAAGACGCTGCGGAGGTATCGTTGATACGAAGGTGGACAGCAGCTTGTAGGAGTCAAATTTGAAGGTATTCTTGGAGTAAAGCACCGAGGCGGCCTCGCGGTAGCTAGTGACTCTGTTAGCGATAAGTTTCAAAGTATTGAAAACGGCAGAGTGGCGACAAACATCTTCTTGCAAGTTCTCAACATTTTAGTGTCGCGTCCTTGCTCTGCTCCAACTTTCCAATGATCCCACGGTTCATTCTCGTTGAATTTCATGGTCAGTTCTTCCTGATCACACAGCACCATCTCATATATCTGCCACCGCAACTCCAAGGGTAATTTAGCGAAAAGAGGACTTTGCGACTGGCCCTTTGCCTTTTTGTTCCACCATTTGTCTCCATCGACCAATGGAATTCGCTTCTTTCCCACTCGTCTGACACGCCTGCGATGCTCTACATCAGCTAGGACTTTATATCTTTCGAGTTGTTTTCTCGATTGGCCGCGGGTCTTCTTGACACAGCTTGGCCAATCCAATGATCGTATGTAGTAGCAAGGGCCAAAGAGAGGGCAGGTTATGAGCTTGCACCAGAAGCGAAGGGTGCTGTTGTTGTTCCACGTGTACGATACCGCATCTTTGGTCGATTCAAATGCCGTCATTCTACCGCCCGTATGCTGTGGAAGTTACCAGGTGAAGATTTTGGCTGAATATATGGGATGTGAGCGCCCTTTTTCAGCCTCAGAAAAGAGGCGCAGTCGTTGTGGATCAGACCATGAAGTGTGGAGCCATAGGCAACCACGTTCCTGCCAAGGACTCTGCAGCCTCTATCGTTTTGAGACTTTGACTATTGCAGCCTAGCTCGTGGCTTTGAGGTAGCACAAGGCTGACACAATTGGTATCTCGTGGCTTCGCTCTGTCTGGGTGCCTCAGGCAACACTCTAACATAACTGTCAGGGGTGGTCGCGCTAAGCCTCGAGCATATAGTTTAGACCTTAGCAATCACTGCAAGGCAGCGATTCGTCTAAGTTGCAAAACATTTACAACTCTCTAGATATTTGAAAGACAAGCGGAACTTTGCTCATCTTTCGAAGCTCCTGTGTCTTGCGAAATCTCACCTCCTATGATACCACCTTTGCGGATGGTAGTAACAGCCGGTTGCATCTCCAGCTCGAAGAGACACAAGGCTAGCAAGAAAAGCGGCCCTTGACGATAAGAGAATGAAGGGCGCTAAGATAATGTGATATGTATGAACCAAAGCAGAACGATGGCATTGCGCTGATCGCAGTGAGCAAACCCCGCACAGCTCCATGCCATAACAAGGCGGTGTGCTACAAAGAGGCTCAATTCATCTAGTCTAAAAACGTTTTGCGACCAGAGTATGTCTTTAAGCTTTCGCGACGCATACCATCAGCAGGCTAATGAGTTTGGGAAGAATGCACCTATCTACGGCACCTAGTAGCTAAGAGTAGCTTAGAAAACACGGGATTTCGTCTACAAACCTACGTCTGGATCTGCAAGCTCCACGAAGCTGTCCACAATTGATAAGAAAAAGAGACTGAAGTTTCCATTCCATGAGACGAAGACAAACGCTCAAGCGACTGAATCGTAGGAGCGTAAAAAAGAGCCCAGCATCCGGGTTGCCCAACTCAGCAACCCACAATTTCCCCGCCCCCGCAGACCTAGCCTCGCCTCATTCTCCACCCGCCAACTCCACCAAACTCACTCACACGGAGCCACTAGGAACCGGGCATACGGGAATTACGGAGACATCTCCTGATATCGCGACACCCAAGCCCCCGCATCCGACCGCCCAAGCGGACGCGGCCCTCCTGTGCGAGCCGCTACGCCACATGACGCCTGCAGATTCGGACTGGGCAAGTAGATCCAGAGCTTGTGGATATGTACATAGCAAGCGGCACAGCTGGTTACTGTGGGTACCTCTGCATCACATGTACAATCGGCCTTGGGGCTGTGCGCAGAGCTTCCGAGAAGCGGGACCGAGGTCACTAGTAGAAAGCGGAGGTCATGTCTGCCATCGAAAGCGCATTCGTAAATACGGTCGTTGCTCGTGAGGAGTGCAACGCTTCTGCTGAGTTATGGGCTTACCAAACTGGGGGGACACAGACAGAACCAAGACTTACAGCATGCGCGCAGCACGATACTACGGGAAGGAAGATATCCGGATTGAAGATGTGGAGGAGCAAAAGTGTGGTGCGGGACAAGTCAGGGTATGTGGGTTGAGTTTCTAGGGGATGCCCATACGATAGCTGATGACGAGCAGGTCGCCCCGGCCTTCGTAGGTATCTGCGGTACCGATCTCCATGAATACCTCGGCGGACCTAACTTCGCACCAACGACACCGCACCCGTGTACGAATGAAACCATTCCCATCACCTTAGGACATGAGTTCTCGGGAACTGTTACGGAGGTGGGATCGGATGATTCAGGCTTTACCGTGGGCCAAAACGTTGTTGTCCAGCCGACGATATATTGCGGGAAGTGCAATGCATGCACAGCTGGCTCCGAGAATGTATGCGAGAATGGCGGCTTCATCGGACTTTCGGGAGGAGGTGGCGGCCTGAGCGACTCCGTTGTTGTGCCTGAGGGTGCGGTACTAAACTTGCCCAGTAACGTACCGCTTGATGTCGGTGCGCTGGTAGAACCTCTTGGTGTCGCATGGCATGCCGTCTCCGCTGCTCCACTCACACCAGATTCTGTCGTCATGATTCTAGGTGGTGGACCAATTGGGCTCGCAATTGTCCAATGTTTGGTCGCACTAGGCACGAAGAAGATTATCATGAGCGAGGTATCGGGCGCACGGCAGCGCTTCGCGAGAGAATTTGGTGCTCATCACGTCCTTTGCCCTAAGACGTACGATGTTGTCAAGATGAGCAAGGCTCTTAGTGGTAGGGATGGGCCGGATGTGGTTTTCGATTGCGCCGGGGTACCAGCAAGTCTCACGACCGCTTGCACAGCAGTAAGGGCTCGGGGCACGGTCGTGAATGTCGCGATCTGGGAGAAAGAGGTGCCATTCAATCCCAACATGCTTGTGTTCCGCGAGGCGCAGTACACAGCCGTCTTGGGCTATCAAAGAAAGGACCTCGAGGCGGTTATCGAACATCTCGCTGCTGGTAAGTTGTACCCTGGGAAAAACCTGCTGCGCCCAGTCGCTGACATGAGTGTTTTGTAGGTACCTTGAAGCCTATGAATATGATTACGCGCAAGATTAGTCTAGAGGATCTAGTAGAAGACGGGATTAAAACCTTGATCAACGACAAGGAGAACCATGTCAAGATTCTGGTAGAAGTGGGAGGCATGAGTCGCATAGACTCTGCTATCCATTGATGCGACAGTGTTGTAGGACTGGAAGACATCTAATAATGCTACGACTTGATCACGATGCTTGGGTGGGGTTCTGAACGTGGAGACCATCTCGGTCCGCACGCTGCTCCGCTTGGACAGCTGCAGCTTCCAGGGTCCAAGCATGCCGTCACTTCCGCAAAACCAATCCACGTCTCTGGGCAACACCAAACATGCCACTATCGACTATCGTGATTTTGATCAAGGCACTGCTCCATGCTTTCGTACCTTCCATGTTCTTTGATCGCCATACTAATGACAATGATCTCGCTAACCCTAGGCTCGACGGGTCGCCGCCAAGCGTCGTATACGGTACGGTGCGGCTGATGCTCATCTGCCGTGGCCAGCCTTGGGCGCAGCATCAGGACGTCTCTTGTCTTCAGGAGAAGCACTCTGCTTACGCTCGAGAGCTCACCGAATTCACCTTGTAGCCGCCATGCCGCAATACAACCCAATGCCTTCGCCAGGGCCGTATGTCCCTCCAGGTCAGGGCACTCCAGCACAGCAGCAAGGCGCCCAGCAGCCACCAAGCTATCAGCCCAATGCAACAACTTATGGAGGACCAAATCAATCTCAGAAAGGAGTTGCCGGATTCGGCCAGATGATGAACCAGCGGCTAGAGCAGGCAGTCACGACAGGCAAGCCAATGTTGAACAAGCTGGGCAAGACTATAAGCTCAAAGCTAGGAAACAAGCCTCCAGGAGGCCCACCCCAGCATCTCCAGAGTTACCATAACTACCAGAGCCATTACGGACAGCAGAACCAGACCCAATCGTACCAGCAACCTCAGGGTCAAGCCTTTAGTCCCCAGTCGCAATCGCAGCAATGGGGCCAACAGCAGCATCAACCCCCATCTCAAACGCCGACCGCCTACCCCTCCTCGCAGCAGTCTCCACACCAGCAGTTCAGCAACCAGACGCCCGCGTCAGGTCACTCGGGACAGAACAATTACTTCCCACAGCAGACAAGTCAAGCACCCAACTACCAATCTTACGCGCCGCAGTCGCCGCTTGCTGGCACTACACAAACAGCATGGCAATATGCTCAGGAGCAGACGCAGGCACATGGACAAAGCGGACAGGGACAGGCTCCGCCAGGTCAGCCTCAGGCACATGGGCACAGCCAATATGCTGGACAGCAGACGGGCGTAGCTGGAGGCTCGTTTGTCACTCAGCATACACCACCTCCTACTTCGAGCATGTCTCCGGCTTTACCTGCTCAGCACATGCAGCCACAGTGGCAACAGCCGGGTAGCTCACACCTGCCCACAGCAAGTACCGAGCAGCAATCGGGTATTCTCCCGCCCCCTCCACAACAGAACGTTTCCGCGAGTCCACCGATTCATACAACGTATCAGCACCAATGGAATAGTCCATCTCCAGTTGGCTCACAAGGACAGGGACAGTCGCAGACACTGCCTCATTCTATCAGTCCTCCACCTACCCATCAGACGATTGCATCACCTCAAGTGCCGCCAAACAAGCCTGTCCAGTCAAGCGATGCAGCACCGCATTCAACGCCAACAGAATTCATCGCAGAGCTTCCTGCAGAGCTCCCGGCAGATGTTGGAAGCTTGAGTCTTGTAGATTCGAAGCCGCAAGAGGCTGTTTCTGTTTCGCAATACCAAGCCTTTCGCCCACCCGTGTCGCAGAGTGGATCGCCCTCTCCTGGATTTACAATTCCTCGTCGATCTCTTAGTGCCAGTACAGTACCAGTTGCCGACCCATGGAGGTTTGTGGATCCGGCAACAGAAGTTCCAACACGCGAATTCTATATCCTGGCAGACTTGCTTTTCGATGCTTTGGATCGGAAGTTTGAGCCTAGAAACACGGGCCTCTTGGAAGCACCAAAGATCATCGGGAGCTGGGTAAAATTAACAGAAGACGCGTGTCGTGAGTGTTACAGTTGTCGAAACATGATACAATGCTGACGTGAAGTCAGGTCTTTTTTCGTATAGGTCTTACAGCGCGTTTGCAAAGTTGTGGAGTCTTGAAGGGATCCCACACATGATGGTGCCCTGCCAACCCGACTTGGCACCAAATTGGAACTTCAATCAGCACACGCATGCGCAAGACGTAAAAGTAAAAGGTCAAGTGCCGACAGCCACGACGGCCTACACGACGTACATGCCAGCTTTGAATCGGGCGGGATGGTACAAGTTCTTCTTCCTTGAGATGATGCATGCACCAGAAGACATCGATGATCTAATACCGGCACTATGCGCAGATACTTACAAGCCGGGGATGCTGAACCAACCCGACCTGGACAAGCGGGACAAGACAGACGTCCCTGCACTACGGGCTAGAGCTGCGGAGATACAGACGTATGCGATTGGGCGTGTTTGTGAAGAGACCAAAGTCGCGATGGCGGTCGACCCCGATGTGCCTCTGGCGCACACGCACCCGACTGCGACAGCTTCGGGAGACGGGCCAGCAGAAGACATGGCCGACATGGCTGTCCGTATGCACAAGATCCAGTCGGAGCGACAGCAAATCGACATGGCGGCTTGGACGATGCTGGGGATGCAGCCGAAGGGCTATCCGGGCGGTGGTTATGGTAGTCTAGTGTAGAGCGGGCAATCGATAATGTTCAGTGCGAATGGTGTTGCCGCTACCCGTTACTGCGACAGCTACCATGGTGCGACGGGATTGAAAGCCGGTTTAGTTGTTTGCCCAGATCTTGCCCTTGCAGTGCCCAGATTGGTTGCAGCTTAGTGGCCAGTTGTTGACAGGCGCAAGCTCCAACGTCGTCGGCGGGTTCCTGCACTGGCGCCGACGACGGACACAGCTCGTACGCGGCTGTAGATAACACAACAAGGCGTGGTGTAGTGAGTGCGGCCTCGTATTATTCTTCCCCAGGGGTTCCATCTGCGTCATCCCTATCAGTCGCATGTTTCATCTCGGCAAAGCGATTATGATCTCAACGATAAACATGCAATCTACGCAGGGACCCCTAACAGCCTGTCCGCGCGTTAGGCCTTTCCCGATGCGGCCGTCGATCTGCAGGTACAGCTTGCTTTTGCGTCTCCGGCCTTGCTTTCTGAGGAAGCCGCGTCGTGGGTTGCACCAACAAATAAGTCCAGGCTGGGGCTCGCGTCCAGCCTCTTATCTTCTCGACTCCCATCGCCGCTCCTCTTAACTCATCCTTTACGACTTTACGAGCACTGCACTGTCACGAGTAATACTCACGAGCAATACGATACCATAGCCTGTTATACCTTGTCAGGGATCCTTGGAACTTCACGATGCGCGCTTCCACCATCATCGCTCCGCTTTTCTTCGCGGCCACAGGCCTCGCCCAGGCTGTCGAGGAGGGCATTGCGCCCGATGCTCCTGCCCCCGAGGGCTGCCTGACTACCGTCGACACGCCCTTCCGGATTGGCACACTGGAGAACCCCGACCTGAGTAAGCGCGAAACCGCTCAAGAGGTACGTTACCCTCCTTGCAAGCGGCCAATGCACAACATACTGACGTAGCACCCCCAGGCATCAGATGGCGATCTCCTCTGCACCCTCGAAGACGGCATCCTGCACGACCAATACGGCCGCACAGGCTCCATTGTCGCAAACCAACAATTCCAGTTCGACGGCCCACCCCAAGCTGGTGCCATCTACACAGGCGGCTTCTCAGTCTGTGGCAACGACTCGCTTGCCATTGGTGGCAGCACACGCTGGTGGCGCTGCATGAGCGGTGCCTTTGGCAACCTGTACGACCAGTCCATCGGCGCCCAATGCCACGAGATCCGTATCCAGGCCATCTACGATGAGTCCGCGTCGGCAAGCAGCAGTCGCAGCAGCAGCGAGGCCATGGCAAGCAGCACCATGAGCAGCGCCCTGTCTGGATCCACCAGCATCATCTCCGCCAGCGAGACGAGCGGTCTGACGAGCGAAAGCAGGACCATGACTGGAAGTGGCTTCTCGACTGCTACTCCCTTCTCCAACAGCGCGACTGCGACTGGCTCCGACAGTGCGGATGCCACTTCTACCGGTGATGCGGCTGCTCCTCCTGCTGAGGGCGCCGCTTCGTCCGTGTCCATGGCTCCTTTTGCCATGTTTGGCGCGTCCATGGTCTTCCTCGGCGCTGCTTTGGTGCTTTAGAGCGTAGCATTATACCATTCAGCTTCTTCGGAGCTTGTTCATCACTCGCACATTGCATGCTGGGCGTCGCTTGGCCCCCTTGTTTATACCTACTTGCATGGTATTGCATCTTTTTGTACTACCCGTTTCGACTTGCATTAGCGAGCATATGATGCCATGGCGCACACATAGATGGCGCATGTTGTCGCAGCTATTTTGGATAGCTTGCCAGCGCCATGGTTGGTGGTAGCATTGGCACAATTTGGCTCGAGGTTCTTATTTCTTCGGCTTTGACGAAAGAGCATGGTATTCTGAGATACACATGGTTACGCATTCGGTACACGGAGCTTAGATTAGAATCCAAGCCTTAATCATAATACTTTACACACATTGGGTGGCCTGATACGCGAGAGACTGTGTAGTGAGTGGGAATACATTCTTCTGGGTTTCAAGCTAGCATGGTATGTGGCTTCCAACTCGCAACTTCTCTTGATGTAGTTGGAGGATGTCCCGGCTCTGTGTCGCTCGATGCAACGAGGAAAAGGTGAGAAATATGATTAAATATATACATCCAGATGAAGACGGTCTGACAAAATAGGCTGAGAACACACCACCAGCGCGCTACTGAGACTCACCATGTATCAAAAGTCACTGCCCAGCTCATCAAACCCGTCCTCGGGCGCAGCCATGGCCTCGCAACTCGCCTCCAACAAAGCCCGAACCTTTTCCATAACCTCGCTCTGTTGCTTCCACCTCGCAACTTGACACTCGATCCGCAATCTCAGCTCATCAGACCAAGCAACAGGATTCCCAGGCACGTTTTTGGCATTGCTAATCGTCGACGGCAGGAGCATAGTAGTCTGGAAGCCGGGCATGGACATGTATGATTTGAACTCGGTGTAGGTGGCGTCGAGGGAGCGGAGTGAGGATTCGAGAGATTGGTAGGTGGCGTGCAAGGTTTGGAGGTAGGTGAGTTGGGAGGGGGATAGCAAGGCTGTGCGGCGGAGGAGGAGGAGCGTGCGGATCGCGTCTTCTTCGACTTGGGAGAGGCGGGATGTGGTGCGGTCGGCTGGGGTGTTGAAGAGAGGCGTGAGGAAGCGGAAGGCCCAGCGGATGCTGTTGTCTTCTTGGGCGGAGGTTAGGGAGGCGAGGAGGCGGGCGCGGCGGATGGCACGGAGGCAGTCTTCGTGGTAGGAGAATGTGAAGGGGGAGTCGCGTTTCTGTCAAGTTGTTAGTTGGGGGGTTTGGTACATAGAGAGATCTGAGGGGGGAAACAAACTTGTTCCATTAGTACCCGTAGTGCTCGTTCTGTCTTGAGGAACCGGACGAGCATGTCTTTCCATGCTACTCGAACAAGGCCCGTCCGTAGGTCCACATTGAAGTCGAAATGTAAGCGGTCTTTGTCGAGAGGGAAGTCGAGGTCTAGAACAGCGTGATCCAGTCGGATGCACCAGCGCAGTTGACCGAACTGTTCTTCTTCCCGTAGCAATGCCAGTCGGCCAAGCATGCCATACCACCGTGGCTCGACGTCGTTGATCGTGTCTCCCGGCTTTGTCTCCAGGCCACACATGGCTCTGAAAGCGCGATACCATTTCTCCTTAATCTTGAAGACGGCATGTTTATTGCTCCAGATGGGTCTCTTGTCTTCCACACATTTTGTGTCCTCTTCAATTCTTAAAAACCCCGCTTCAAGCAAATGCACAGCTTCGTGTTCCTCCTCATCCAGATCCCCCATGAACGGGCCGTGTCTTGGCCCCGTGTATCCCACTAGCTGCGTCCTCTGCAGACAGTGGTACAGAACACGGCCGTCGAGCGCATCGCGAAACCCACGACACACTAGCCGCCAATCGAGGATATGATCGACAGGTACGTGTTCGAGAATCTGGAGCAGGAGTTCTGCGGGGAGGTGCGCTAGCGTTGGGTTGCCATTGGAAGATGAGGGCGGCGCTTGGCTCGAGTCGATCGAGGAGATGAGGGCGGCGACATCGTCTTGTGTGAAGCCTAGCTGGATGTGGCGCCTCAGATACGATGGCAGGGTATCGTCACTCCGGCTGCGAACTTTCGAGGGTGGTGCACAAGATGGCTTAACGGGCGCGCTAAAGCGCCCGGGTGACTGCGACATTGACTTGGGTGGAGATGCGGGGATGGGGATGGTTAGGGGATGGTGTGCGTTTTAGTCTCGGCTGTACGCGCGCACGTGTTTCGTGTGACACGAGTGAACGATTGCTCTGTTACACGACATGTGTGTTGATCAGGATAAGAATTTATTCACAACCGAGGGCAGATTGCGCGAGGGTGCGATTTGGGGGTATAGGGGCTGTGGCGGAACTGTGCCACGCTCTCATTATGACCAGACGGTCGGGCGACTCCATCACATCCTCACCAGAGCACGATACGCAATGGATGGTTTCTCCACACGACCCGACACTCCGCGACTTCACGACTCGCTCAGCAACGCGCACCCTAGTTTGACCTTGGAAGCAGGAAGAGTCCCGCGTATGCTCGGCTACTCAATACTAATCCCCAAAGCGGAGAGAGTGGGTCAGGTCTTAGCCGCCGCTTTAGCCCCAGCGGCTTGCCCCAAGTGGGGTACACACATGTCCATCTTAGTTGTCGACGAATAGCCTCGAGTATGTTGCGGATATGAACAGCCTCTCGACTTCCTTTGCAGCTTTCAGAGGCATGAGGGGAAGATTGCCGCGTCTTCGCAGTAGTACATCTCACCATGGCTCTTCCCCAATGCCATGCTCGCTCAGCGCCTCTTTACTATCTTCTTCCTATCGACAGAAGCCCTGACTTCATCTCAACATGGCTCCTGCAGTCCGTCGACCAGTCCGCGTTGGCGGTGCCTCAGGCGGCTTCTCCGATCGCGTCCGAGCAATCGCATCTCTGGCGAAAGACGATGTCGATGTCATAGTAGGAGACTGGCTCTCCGAGATGACAATGACCATGCATGGCACCGGAAAGCTCAGGAATAAAGAGCAAATGCTCCAAGCGCGTTCTTTCGAAGAGAAGCTCAACTATGCCATGTTTGCTGAGAACTTCATGGACTGCTTTACTCCCGCGATTCAGGATGTTGCAACCCGCGGCATCAAAGTTTGTGTCAATGCCGGCGCATCGGACACGGAGCTGCTGGCTCAACTTGTGGATAAGACATGCAAGGAGGCTGGTTACCCATTGAAAATAGCTTGGATCGAAGGCGACGATGTTACAGGCACTGTCAAGAGCATGTTGGACAAAGGCGAGGGGTTCAAGAGCTTGATGCATGATAAGTCGGTGGCCGAATGGGGATTGGAACCTGTTTGCGCTCAATGCTATCTTGGTGGTTTGGGCATCGCGAGAGCACTAACCGAAGGTGCTGACATTGTCATCGCGGGTCGGGTCTCAGATGCTTCACCCATCATTGGCGCTGCAGCTTGGTGGCATGAGTGGACAAATGATCAGTTCAACGAATTGGCTGGCTCTCTTGTGATTGGTACGCCATCCATTCTCATCCTTGAATGCTATACTAAGTGCTCAAGGTCATCTTCTCGAGTGCGCCGCGTATGTATCCGGGGGCTACTGCTCAGACTTTCGTAGTCTGCTGGCACAAGGCAAGCACATCAACATGGGCTTCCCTATTTGTGCCATCGACAACAAAGGGGAGGGTGTAATGTACAAGGAGAAGAACACCGGCGGCTGCATGACTGTCAACTCTGTGACTTCTCAACTTCTCTACGAAATTCAAGGCCCGCTATACTACAATTGTGACGTGACAGCCGACTTGACAGATATCAAGATTGAGCAGATTGGCGAAGACCAAGTCAAAGTATCCGGCGTCAAAGGCCTCCCACCGCCGCCGACAACCAAAGTCGGCCTAACAGGCTTCGCCGGGTGGCAGGCCGAATACCACATCTACCTTGTCGGACTCCACATCGAAGAGAAATGCAAGTGGATTGAAGAGCAAATCCGATACGAACTCGGTCCCGAGCTGATCAAAAAGTTTGACGTCCTCAAGTTCATGCAAAACGGCTCCTCAGTCATCGACTGCCGCAACCAAGACGTTGCGACAGTGGATTTCCGCGTCTTTGCTCAATCCAAGGATAGAGAGCTGCTCAATATGCGTAATCCCAAGGGCTTCTTCCGCATATCCATGGTCAACTTCTTGATGTCCTGTCCTGGTGCCTCGTTAGGTAACGACGTCCGACAGGCAGAGGGCAAACCATACTACGAGTACCATCCCTCTCTCCTCCCCCAATCCGCGGTAAAGCAACGTGTCCATTGTATCTGGGACGGCGAAACATCATCTGGCTTCCAAGACGGCAAGAAAACACTAGACATTCCCCTCGCACCCACATTCCAGGAGTACTCCCGCCAACAACCCTCATATGAGACACACTCCCCCATACCACTTACGCACTTTGGTCCTACCGTACGCCTCCCTCTCGGGTCCATCGTTCTCGGCCGCTCTGGCGACAAGTGTTCAGACGCCAATGTCGGGTTCTTTGTGCGTCACGATGATGAATGGGAGTGGCTGCGCAGTTTTCTTACCATCGATAAGATCAAAGAATTACTCGGTCCTGAGGAGTACAAAGGGAAAAAAGTTGATCGGTTTGAAATGAAGAATATAAGGGCTGTGCATTTCTTGTTACATGACCACTTGGACCGTGGGTATGATGCTTGCAGTACGTATGATACGCTGGGGAAGAACGTTTGTGAGTATTTGAGGGCGAGGAGTGTGGATTTGCCGGTAAGGTTTGTTGAGAGGGGGGTGTTGTAGTAGATGTGGTGGCGTAAGATGCATTTCAGTGGTTTTGCACATGGGTAAAGTTTGTAGACGGTCTGTGGACGATCATGACGCGCACGTCAACAAGGGCTGGTTGGAGGTACCCATAGACATGACTCTATCTTGAAAGCTTTTGATAAGCCAGCAAGCTCGCCACCCACAACCATGTAGTGGTAGACATGATCTTTTTGACGAACTTTTGACACGGGCCTTGACCTGGTGGCATTATTTTCATGTCTCCGTAGCCTAGTTGTTCTGATACTATGTGACAGTCTTCTTCACATGAAACGGTGGCAGGGGATATTTGATTATCTTCAAATCATCGCGAGGAGGTTTTGACAAACCGAGTCATAGGAACGATTTTTGGAAACCGAAATTCCCCTCAAGTCTTCAGATATACAAAAGAACCAGAAGTCACCTCGCAATGGCTTATTCACACCCAGCGCTGTTATCTTCCAGGAACAGTGTTTTGAGCCGTGTTATGTTTCATTCAATCACGACCACCATGCGGATGAGGGACTAACTTTTTTGGAGGAACAAAGAGAGGAAAGCAGTCATCGACTCCTTGCTCAAACGTTTTTGGTCACCTGAAAGAGGTGATAGAAGAATAGAGAGTAGAAACGTGTTGAAAAGGAGGCATACCAACCTCAATCTTTCTAGCTCGAGGAACCATTGGCCAAACACTATCTGATAATCGTTGGAAGTTTCTGTATCGATTTTGAGGAGGGAAACTGGGTTTTGAAGTGAAAGGTCGACCACAAGGCTTCATGCCACCACTCCGCAATTCAATTCCCACATTTTGGTTTTGGTGTCCTTCAGCTTTCTTCCTATTCTTATGAAGCCTCTCGCAAACATGGAGCCATAATCTGCGTTTTTGAGATGCGCAATAACGGCTCGGAGTACCCTTTACATATGTTGAGATATAAGCTTGTTTGTTTCAGACACGTGGGTATCATTGCCTCTGCCAATTTCAGTGAAGTCTGAACGCAATCAACGCTCATAGCTTAAAAAATGAGCGCTCTCAGACGAACATGCGAACGTTTTGCTGTGTTTTGGGAGAGATAGCACTGCCATCCAATTTGGGCGATCATTTTTGAGAATAGAGGAGCACACCGATCATGCGTGATCATGAATTGGGTTTTGTACTAATTTTGGTATCTCATCTTGGTCACCAGGAAGTATGGGAAAAGAAGCATGGTGAGTGAGATATTTATATAGACTCTACTAACACTAGTTCCTAACACAGATATCTGGGCGTCGTCTCGCAGTCGTGGTTGGTTTTGCTAGCGACTTATCAAAGCGGGAATTCGATTTCGGCCCGGGTATGGGTCGCAAGGTCATCATGTCTCCAGGGTGAGAATATTTGATGCCCGGGAAGCGATAAATGTATCACGTTCTCTGCGTTGTGGTTCCAGGAGACATAGTCATAGGGTACCAGGGAATAGTACATAAAATTGTCGCCACCAATTCATGTAGTAACAGATCTCTTGCGGCAAGGATTGTACATGCCTTTCAAAGCTTTTGCTTCACGGGACATACACATCGCTTTTCCAGGCGTAGACATAACATCAATAGCTACAATGCTTTGGATGCCGAGTCGCAGTATGAATAACTTCGGCGACGGGAGAACATCTCATGCGCGTTGAGCTTGTAATTTTTTTTTTTTGGAAAACGAAGCCAAAACACAGCGTCCATGAAGTTGGGGTCTTTACATTTTTGGACTTCAATCTTCGAGTGTGGTTAAGGAAAAGAGAGGTGGGAATCCGTGGAAGAACTTTATATAGCTGTTACGAGGGCTAAAATATGGATGCATAATGTTTGCTAGCTCCTAGTGAACATCTTCAAGCTACATCGTAGCGCCTCCCCTCATCGTTTCTATAAGATATATATTTGGATGAATCAATCTTACTGACGACCAAGCATTATGCCATAGGCGCGCCTCGTTGAGAATGTAGACATGGCGATTTTTGAGGAGTTTCGTTTTTGCTAACTCTTGATCTTTGCGTGTGCAATGTACCAAAATCACATGTCTTTTGCAGTCAAGACTTTTTGTTCTTTCGACAAGCCGAGTTTGATCGTTATGCTACGCATCGTTTGTAGTACAATTAAGTATATCTCGTTAGACTTGAAACTATTTATCGCTTGAAGTGTGTCGTCGCTACAAGTGCTTCTGAAAGAGCCTTTAGCACTGATTACTAAGCTTGCAAAAAAGGAGGCTTACGGTGTACCGATTCTATGTGGCTTGAAATCGGCATGCAGCCGCTTATTATGCCGTGCAGAGTGGAGTTGTAGCCTTCTCCATGTCAGCAAAGATCGACGATACTGTATCCCAAACGTGGCATCCCGGCGAAGCTTTTTTAAGACGATGAGCGGGAGATCGTGCATGAAGTGGAATGACTCGCAGCTGTCAGAGTATCTTGGTAGGGCTCGGGTACGCTAGTCGACGCTTACCCTCTGCGGGGGTGGACCCTGCTTGTTTCGTATCCAATCACGTTATGCGCGTCCAACGACAGCAACTCTGGCGAGTACGACAAATAGTGGGCAATTTCTGAATTGAGACTATCGCCTTGTTATATGCTATTACCACACATCTCCGGACCAGGCCCGCGCTATCGCACTTCCTCCATTACACAATATAACACATGGCTCTCATCACATCTCCACCATAATCCCCAATGAACCGTCCATTAACCTAGACCGCCGCCGACTCGAGCTAACGATGATCTACTGCTTGTAGCAAGGAGTGCGGAACTGAGCATTCCAGCCACTGACGGTCTTGTACTTTCCACCAGCGTTGCAGGCGGTGCCGGCCTCAAGAGGGTTGTTCGGGTTGGTCGCACCATCGGCACGGTGAGCGTTGGTGCACCAGCGCTGGCAGTCGAGGTTGCCAATCTTAGCATCCTGAAGGACGAGAAGATTCAAATTAGCATTCAACATTCTATTCATCCTGTTTAGTTCCTGACGGGTTGCTCACCGAGTAAACGCAGCAGTGCGAGTCATCTTGGAAGAGGCACTGGCACCACTGGGCAGCCTGGGTGGTGATGGCGCTGGCCATCAGCAGAGTGGCGAGGGAGAGAATGCGGACCATTTTAGCGGTTGTGGAGAGTCTCGAAGAGGTGGTAGAAGATTGAAGAGTAGGATGGATTCAGATTGAGAGTCTTAGTGCTGTACAGAGAGATGAATATCATGCCAGAGGGGGTGTTGCCTTGATATTTAACATACTGAGGGCAGAGAGAGGCTAACCAAAACTTGCTTAAGCTCGAATCTCTAGATGAAGGAGCCATCTCAGATGTCAAGCCGAGTAGTGCTTACATCGCTCTAGAGAGTAAAGCCAGGTTAGTCCGGCCTCGTGTCATCTCTCTAGACCATCTGGTGTTCACGTGTGTCTATCCGTTCTAACGTATCTCCTAGTTCACAGTCGTGACATAATTTGGCTACCGGCAAGAGTACCGCATGGACGGAACTAGCGCGTGTCGATCACAAGGATTAGTAAACAAGTCAACACAACCTTGGAAGCCACTGTAGGGGTCATAGCGAATAGGAGAGACTGCGCTTTCTTTTCGGTGTTCATTTCAGATATCACGAGCTCACTGACCAAGTGCTCCACCGACAATGCTTCTGTCGGTAAGCATAGTAGTTCTTGTTTGGCAAGTCCTTCCCTATTGGGTCAGCTGCTCGGTCTAATAATCTATGCGCTGTTCTGAGCCACTCGGGATCAGCTTGAAAGTACGGTATGAAGACACACGTGAGAATGTGTTTCGTATGATCATTACAGCGACTCAAGCCCGTGTGGACTTTTGCGTCTCGTCGCTAGTGGGATTGGCACTGCCATTCAATTCTTACTCAGCTGACCACAAGAACTCATATGTGATAAGATGAACATGAACTTGCCTTCCATATAAAGCTGCAGTGATCCCCTCTAAACGTAGCATTCAGACTCAGCATCTTCAGTACACACAAGTCTTACAACCCTCCTAATCCTACTCACTTACTCATCAACCTCGAACGCCGACAAAATGGTCCGACTTTCCATCTTCGCGGTTATCTTCGCCGCTGTCACTGCTGTCGCTGCCGACGGATACTGTCAATGCCTCTTCGCGGACGGCTCCCACTGCTGCGTTACTGTAAGTCAATGGAAACCCGAGCGAAATCGGATAAGATATATAAGCGACCAGACCTAACAACGACCTAGCAATACGGCATCGTCAAGGACTGCACAGCACGATGCATCGACAACGGGAACTCGGACAAGAAATGTAACGCTGGTGGCAAGTACTCGAACGTTGGTGGATGGCACGCACAATGGCGCCGCTCCTGCACGGACTGGACCATTGGAAACGCATAGAGTAAAAGGGCTTGTCAGAGCGCCTTGCACAGTGCCACCCAGAGAATTATCTCTTTGTATACATGGGATCTCGCTAGAAAGCTCGCATGTATATAGGTCACATTTCCTCCAAGTCACAGATGCATGACTTGGAGGTATGGCAGTCAATGAAACCACCTTGTATACCTTACTCGCCAACTCGCACTCGCACTCGCAATCATTGACTAAAAGTAACGGAACCAAGCATAGAATGCAGATCTGACAAGCAAGATAAGCATTGTGCTTCTTCTAGCAACAACTACGCGAGCTTGATTGCAGGGATTACTGTGACCTAGCGCATCCAACGTACCGAAGCTGTGTCTAGGAGACCTCTTATTACTCCGTACCGTATCTGTAGGGGTAAAAGTCTAGAAGCTGGAGTGCGGTATCCGGCCCGGGGTTCTCAGTGTCACCTATCAACGACATTATCTAGGATGCCTGCCCTCACCACCACGATACAGCTTGTCCAGCACCTCTTGCAGCCTCGATTTACGAAAGAGCTTATCGGTTTCCCAATAACGCGATAACACGGTCCGTACTTAGTCTAAGCGGCCGTACTGCGGCTATAGTCCGCACTCAAGGACCTTTTGGGTACTGCCGTGATATAATACTAACATTCGGTCCGTACGTACCTCACGATAGCCTTATTTAAGCCGTACCACGGCATGTTAAACGCGCTGATGTAAGATATGCACGTCCTCCCGTATATCGCTTGCCGAATTTCCGTAGATATGTCTACAAGTCGTGGTTTGTGGTTTCTTAGTCCGCTGGGCTCTACCTAGCTATAAAGACCGTGTTTTCTCTTGTAAATGTACGAAGACTTTCGTTCATCATCATCATCATCATCATCATCATCATCATCATCATCATCACATAATCTCGCAACCTGATCCCGCTACTTCGACCTCATCAACGCCCAAAATGGTCCGCCTTCTCACCATCGTTACCGTGCTCTTTGCAGGTGTAAGCAGCGTTGCTGCTTCGTACTGCCAGTGCCTTTACACAGACGGCAGCCACTGCTGCGTTATTGTAAGTCGACATGTGTCACTTCACACTGAAGCTTGACATGCTCACAACTGTTTTTTCCAGGACAATCTAGTCAATGACTGTACGAGAATGTGCAACAAGGCGTCCAAGGACTCTACGACTGCCAACCAGTGCAACGCCGGCGGGAAATTCTCCAATGTGAGCTCGTGGAATGCCAATTTCCGCAAGAAGTGTGGACAACCCTACATCTACTAGATTCTGTAATACACTGCCGCCATCGGCAAAGCTCATGCGAAGGCTGTCTTCATGTGTAATTTCACCGGTGGAAGGCTTGCAGTAGGCCTTTCCGGTCATCAGCAGGAATAGCGACGATCGATTTAATCAGTGGAAAGAACGCGATGTCATATTACTGAACAGCTTGTAGTTGGTTGATCAAGCATCAGGGGCTTGTTGAAAGCACATTGGTGGTCTGTTACACGCCCTGCGATTCATGTTGTAACTTCGCCGTTTAGAGGCTACTTTAGTCAAGTAATAGTTAATGGGCTACGAGACTGTTTGTGCAGCCATGGATTCTCTCAATGCTGATCATCCTGGAGATAATGCCGATAATACTCTAATCATGCACTTCCGCAGAGTGCTCCGAGATACACCAGCTTTTCCAAGTGCCACATTATTTGCGCTCTGCGGAGTACCCGTGATGATGTGCCCAAAACGCCAGGTAATACCATGAACGTATCACGAGTTGCCATTAGTGGTCAAATCCCCATCAACGGATTGTTACATTTGATTCATGCGATGTCATCCCCAAACTCCAGCGATCCCTGTAAGTAGTAACGCCGAACCACGGAAGGGGCGTCTTGGTAAGAGCTCACCGCCGTGAAGATTGTCGGAAGCAGGGACTATCTTAGGCGAGAAGCGGTCTTTGGAAATTACGATGCGCGACATTACGGGAATTCCCTCTAGCGCCTTGCGCAATACCCACCTGTCAGCCTTCACCACGTCAGAACGTGAGTGCGCAACCGAAAGACAGAATACAAAGAAGGTATAGCGTATCTGTTGTCTAGGATTCTCGATGTTCATTTGCGGCTCTGCTACGGGAGAGGTCGCGAGCGAGCACAGAGGCTTTGCGAAGAGATTGCGAAATCTTCCAAAGTGAGACATTGCCTTGTAGTGAGCGACGTGCACAGCTGAGATTTGTAGGATTCCATGATAACGACTCCTCAATCAGCTTAAATCCATCTGGCGTCCTCGGAAAGTCAACGCTTCGTAGCAAGAGACGGAGAAGTGATTAGCGTGCGCAAAGCACTGCGCTCGGACGGAAGTCGTTGTACTGTAGCATCCACGATCTCGGTGATATTGACATAACAAAACACGCATCGCGCGCATCGAGAAACTCGGCATTCCTTCGATTTACACGGTATCCAGGGAAAGTGTTGTATGTAAGCCACTAGGGCCTAGATGAACTAACTATAGTCAGGATAGATCCGCGATCTATTATCTGATTAGGTTAAACCCTGCTCAGCTAAGCCTAGCGTTCATCTAAAGTCTGACTAAGATAGGCCCATACAATACTCTCCCAGGAGACGAGCTCAGACACCGTTCCACCCTCTTCGGCCCTCCTCTGCTTACCGGTGCCTGGGTTAGTGGCGACACGCGCTAAGTTGATACCAAGCCGGCAGAGAGGGACAAGAACCGCCACATTTGTGACCTTGTCATGTTTGCTGCAACGTCTTCTCCTTGTGTACACACTTCTTCCCATAGTTGCGCCGAATATCTGGGTAATCGGCTCCAGGTGGAGTGTTGTTTTGCCCGAAAAATGTCTGTAGGCCTATCGTCAACCATTATACTTTGCCATTAGCACCATATTTTGACCGGAAATTGCGTCTGGTTTGCTTCAAGCTTGTGAAGTGATTGCGATGGTGAGGCTGTATGAGTTGCAAGGCTGCGCTGATACCACCTGATCTTAAGTAGGGCTTTCGATATTTATGCCGTACAGAACGCCGCTATGTGGAACAGGATCGCGCACTCAGTACTTGACCGCTTCTTGATCTGAACACAGTAGAAATGGCCTGATGGAAAGCTATCAGGTGAGATGAGATTGCTGGTTTCGATAGACTTCCCACGCAATCACATGATGTGCCGCTGACAAGTATTGATGCCTATGACACTTAAATCATGCAAGTGATAAAAGTGCAACGGTTTACCAATGCGCAGCATTTCCCCTAAACCAAGCTGCTACCATATACCTTGGAAAGAACAGCATAACCTTCTTCGTCATTTTGGTAGCCACTAACCACATGGTAGCAAAGGCCGTTGAGCCACAACAAGCCACAATTGCCAAACCCCATATTCCGCGGATACACATCCCGCGGATACACATCCCGCGGATACAGATTCCGTGGATACATATTCCCGCATATCCCCGTCTCCATCAACATGAGAAAATTATTTCCATAGTTGCACGAAGATCCACCTACCTGGTCCGCCTTAATCAGCCACGCTATCCGAATCGCCGATATTTCGAGAATGCCTCAACGTCTGATTGGCGCGCGGCGACTTACTCCGCCGGTGTTGTCGAAAGACCGAACGTCATGGGCCCTCATCGCCACTTTTGAGATCCCATCGCTTCGAGCTCTGATTGCTGCAGTAAGGATCGCCTGCCAATATCATGGCATGATAATGGATCTATGGCAGGTGAGGCGTAATTGTGCGGGGGGAACATGCTGTTTGTAGTAGGTGTGAAAAATAGGAGGATGCATCAGTGATCCAGGCTGCCTCTAAGTTACTTTTTTCAGTATGAAAAGAGGAAAGCTATGGATTGTAGTAGGATTCGGTGTTTTTCTCCGCGTCGTGTGGTCGAATCAGTCGATGCAGGTTGTTGTCAATGTCCTCATGATGACAACCCGCAAGCGACAGCAGGAGTCATAGACCTTGGTTTTCAACGTCTTGAAGGATCAACACGCAGCCCTAGCTGGCCTGAGAGTAGGTTCTCCCGAGATAGGTCTCATAGTATCGATGCTTGTATCTTTGAGGCAACGGTGATTCGAGAACGAAGTACCGAAGCTTTCGTCGAAACACCTCCTCGCCCGGACAACTTTTCGTAGTGAATCCATTGATGAGAAAACATGTGTATTCCACTGCTAGACTTCGATATGTGGACTACAGTTCTGGCTCTATCATTCATTGTTTCAAAGCGAGGAATTTCTTTTATCGTGTAAACGACGAGATGTGCACGCAGCACCGCACAAGGACTCATGTTACGGTAGGGCGAAAGTACTTGGTCTGCCCAACATGAGTCTTGTTTTGAGCCTTTTGGAAATAGAAAAAAGAGTGGTACAGGATGGAGAGTGGCAAAGGCAGAAAAGCGCGGATTTTATATATACAAGCGTAGTGATATTTCTCGCAAAGACATGCCAGGCCATCAACTCTCAAAACAGAGAATGCGACCAAGTGGTAGAGGGTTGTCATTTATCAGAACAAATTTAGGAGATCGAAGCCGAAGTCATGACTGCTGATTCGATTCATTTTGGACAGAATTGGGAGGCGGTACTCTACTGCACCATTATGTTCTCGATGAAACATTTTCAGCTTCAAGAATCGTCATGGCCGATCTGGGAACATCTCATCGATGCAGTCAGCAAAAGAACACATGTGTTTTTCGTTGTCATGTTTTGGTGATCAATGTGCGGAGCGTATCTAGGAGGTCTCATACTCGGCGAACAGGGTTTTATACCGCCAGAGATGACAGGGGACATGAATTTGATGTGAGCTGTTACTATCGAAGGAAGCAATTTGGATGTAGCATACAGAATGGTTGCGATGCTTGACGAAACTGAAGCATATCGTGAATAGTATGGCCTTTTCCGACGAGCAACACATGAGTTAAGGAAGGATGGATTTTAGATTTGCTCCGCGGCAAGTTATCATGCCTGGATAAGTGCTGTTCCTGTTGCTCATGAGCGACAGTTTGAAGTCTTTCCGGCAGATGAGAAGAACGGTAGGTGGATTTCGAAAAAGTCGAGTACTCTGAGGCAGTGATATCGCTCTTTGCCCATGAAGCGATCGCAATCGGTTTCTGGTACAGAGCGATATGTCTTTCTTCCTCAACCATTTTGATCATCCCTGATCAACAGAGGTACAACCATAATGATGGTAGTTTTCGATGTAGTGGGTAGCGCTTGTGCTGCCGAGCAATATAGAACGAATCAGTCTGGTTTTGGACACGCTTGGCCATTGCTCCATGTAATTGAGCTTGGTGTGTTTTGATTTTAAACGACAGGAGGGTCAGCTCATAATCAGATATTTGATTTGTTTTGAGTAAATGGTTTACGAGGTTGATGGAGGATTACAGGAGAGATGATCATAGATATTTATACTCATCGAGTCCGGAGGTCGGCACGTGTGTGCAGTCCAGGCTAACACCTAAGTGCCGTAAAGTCTGCCACCGTACCAGCCATGTCTATCATAGTTTCGCGCTCGCACCTACGCTTTTCATCGGTGCCTGCTCGATCAAAAACCCTGCAAAGAACTTCGCAACACCATCAAAGTCATCGAGAGTTGTCACCACCGAAACATCTACACAGCATTAGCATATCCATCGTCCGTCCGTCATTAAGTCATGTTTGCTTACGTTGATCTGGCCTTACGATCACTACAGCGCCCACATTCGGATCAACCCCGTAAATCTTGTAAGCGTGTCCATGGCCAGAATTGTAATGTTCATCATCAAGATATGTTTTATGGAGATCTAAAGTCTCCGTCAGCGTGACTGTCTTCATGATGAAGAAGGCGACATACCACGTATACCCCACTTTCCACTCTTGGGCCAGAAGTAGCCTGGTATGCGTTCTTGTTCAGTGTCGCGCAACTCGCTACTCAGTACGAGGATAGGTTCGATAACGCTGTCGATGTGTTTTGCCGTGGATGTATATCGACGCGCAGTTGAATCGAGAGCTTTCGCTAGCTATGCAATTTTAGTACGATGAGGCAATTTCAAAGGCTGGGGGCCATACCTTATCCAATCGCCTCTGATGCGCCGCTTGGTTGACATCCCCAGCAAACACGACGACTCGCCATCTTCCATCGCTCTTGAGCACACTTTGCAACTGCACAGCCTTGCAATCACAAAATCGTATTACCTGCGCACTCGGAAAGCGCATCCCCACCGTCACTGCCGTGGCCTTACTACCATCGCTCCGCATTCCACTAGTGACCATGGAGTCTTCGTATCTCGCGGTAAAGCCCGCCATATAACGCCCACTCTTAGTGAAGTAGTCGGCAAACTCACCTTCGTATTTCTCCTTGCGGCTAAACATTTTGGCGAGCTCTTTGTCGAATGCGATGAGATCGGCTGCAGTCTTGCTGCGTTCGGAGACGTACGTCGAAAGCAGAGATGGAGGCGAGAGACCGGATAGGACGGATCCTAGCTTCCAGCCAATGTTGTAGCCATCCTGGAGTGACACATTCATTCCTTGGCCTGCTTTTGGAGAATGCGTGTGACACGCATCGCCAGTCAGGAAGACGCGGTTGTGAGCATGAAAAGCAGAAGCAAGACGCTGCCCGATACTATATGCGCTCCACCAGAACACGTCTGCAAAGTCCATGGTATACGGCGCAAAGATTCTTCGAGCCTGGTCTTGCAAATCGGCCAGTTTCACTTCCTTGGGATGTACGCCTGCGGGAAGTTGGATGTAGAATCGCACTAGCTGGCCGCCCTCGCGCGGAATGATGAGCAGGTTGCCAGCTGCGCTGTGTATGGTGCATTTACGACGAATGTCGGGAAAGGATGTGAGCGGGTAGATATCCATAACACCCCAGACGGTATCGGAGGTGTCGCCCAGCATGCGGATATCGAGGGCTTTTCGGATAGTGGAATGCGCGCCATCGCAGCCTAGGACGTACTTTGCTTCCCAGACTTCCTCTTTCCCATCTTTCTCTGCAGTGACTTTGACGCAATGCGCGTCTGGGTTGTTCTTGCTCTTCTCGTCAATGTCCACAGCTTTGACAGCCCATCCGTACTCGATGCCATTGCTTGTACCTTTTTTCCACTTCCCCTTCTCTTTCAGCACATTCTCCATCTTTCCTAGCATCAAACCATTCATACGAGCTTGGTTGAGTATCACATGAGGTAGGTGACTCAATCCTTTCTCGGTGTCAATGGATCTGCTCTTCCTCTTGATACCGCCTTCGGCATTCCCGCTGCCATCTTCATCGACCCCCCAAAAGCACACTTCCAGTATGTGATACGCTTCTCGCAACAGCTCTTCTGATAGACCGAATGATTCATAAATCTCTACTGTACGGACTTGAACGCCATCTGCTTGACCAATCTCTAACGGCCCGGATCGTCTCTCTAGAATGGTAAAGGGTATATCGAAAATCGCGAGCCAGGTTGCTGCAAAGATACCAGCAGAGCCAGAGCCGGCGATGAGAACGTCCGTCTTTGGCATCGTGTTGCTGTGATTGCGCTCGATTATCGTCTCTCAGGACGTTGGTAGACTACAGTCCGAGATTGTGAATGATGTAGATTACGACAAGTAACTATGTGCGGCGAACGACTAGTCGACAGGCTAAAAGTGACAAAGGACTCCAGTACACGGGAGTGCGAGACCTGATCGTAAGATGGGTGCTCAACGGATGTCGCATGGCTGCCGAACGCGATGTCCGAAGGTGTATCGGGCATGCGGGGACGCACATCGGCCCACTCGTTAGCGTATAATGACCCGACAGCGAATCCGGGGAAGGAGCCGGATATTTGTTCTGCCACGATTTGCGAAGAATTAGGGAAACAGTTTAATTCTCGAACAATGTAGCGAGGAGAGCTGAGGCAATTATCCTGGCGTCGCCTAACGGAAATGGGTAGTCGTTGTTCCATCATCACACATGGTGCGCAATCGCGAGGAGGCATCGGCTCGGACATCACAATGCGCGAAAGGACGACCTCGGTCGAGTCAAGAGAGGTGGTATTACTATATACTATATAAGCGCTAAAGATAGTCGTAAATGCGTCTGCGTAAGGCTGTAAGGAAGCACATTACCAGGTGCTTTCGCAGCTACTGTATCCTCCCAAGTCATTCCATAAAGGCGCCGAAACATTTTGCCGAAGCATGTATACGCCATAAACTCCATCCCATGCGTATAAAGGTATGTGCAAAACAGATATCATTGGAGGCAAAGCAGAGGCGAGAGGTTATCGTGAGCTCAGTGGCCAACGGCGGAGTAGTGCGAGTTGCGTGGGTGGTATGGTTGCTGGTATAATGATGGCTCGTACTCGGATTGCTGGTACATGGTGCCGCGCTTGTCTTCGTAGTCTAGGGGCTCTTTGATCTCCCAGTTGTGTTGCTTGACGCCGACGGAAAATTCGAGGTCTTCGCGAGTGATGGAATCCCAGTACTATGAAGGTGTTAGTGTCGACGGGCATGCGATATTGTAGAGGGTGACTTGCCTTGTAGACCATCATGACTGCGAGCAGGTTGCAAATGGTGGCGAAGAAGAGGCCATCGATGTAGTGCTGTACTTGGTCGCAGATGGTGTCGCTGAAGACATAGAGGATGACCTGACCAATAACGAAGAAGAAGATGCCAAACGAGATATCACCCAGTGGCCAGCGGTCTTCGAGGGTTCCGACAACCAGAATGATCTGGCTGACGGCGTAGACGAAAAGGCAAATGGCGTTGACAATGTAAGTAACGACAAAGATACCGATAGGGTTTCCGGGGTTCAGTCCGGCCCAGCCTTTGAAGGTCAAGAGGTTCACAGCACCGCCGACGATGAACATGACCAGGGTGGAGAGACGCAGTAGCCATACTGATAGTGTTGTACCGTCTTCGTAGAGTTGGAAACCGACGAAGCCGTTGATCAGCAAGCAGGTACATAGCGCGGAGACGAGGCCGTTCTGGGCGGCAGCGAAGTAGGGGTAAGCGGCAGAACCAGGGGCGGCGACACCGGCATCGAGGACGAGCGATATGATGGTGAGGAAGAGGTAGATGTAAAAGAACGACGTGATCTCCTTTCGGCCTGCTGTGCGTGAGTAGAGGCTCCCAGGGTTATACGGCAATGCGCCAACGTACCAACAGCCGTGAACTTGGAACGCACATGGATAATCATGACGACTGTCATGACCATGGCCAGGATGTGCATAAAGTCGTTGGCCGTCTCGAAGATGAGGGTATTCGCAATCTCGACCGTCCGCGCATAGCACTCGGTCTGGATGCCGACGCCATTATTGATATCCTGGTGACCCACAAGAGCGCATAGCGGCAGCGGTGCCTTTTCGCAAATCGTCTGAAAGTCGCCGAAGCCCATGTTGGCTGGGTGTGAAGCGTGCGATGTCGGTCGGGTTACGGCGGGTCTGGCGCGCGGTGTAGGGCGGAAGCGTGGAGTCGACGAGGACAAGTGAGTGAGGTTTGGTAGTCGCGGAAGGTGCAGACGGCTAGCGAGCGAATGTCTGCAAGGTAAACAGTAACGAGAGAAGGCGCGGTGGGGTGCGACGAGGGTCAGGGATACTATGGGGGCGGTTGTCAGGAGTGAATGCGCACTGTTGACAGTTCCCGAGCCGCACTAGTCCCACAATGCAGGTCGTATGCACTTCGGGACTAGCGCCAGCTATTTCCGTCCTCTGAGCTTTTTGCTCTCCACCTAAGCAACACCAGCGATACTTGCTTGTGACTTTCTAGGCTGTAGTCTCTACAGCAGGTGCGCCCATCATGTGCTGGTATCTGGGCATCGAATGGTTTCCTCCCAAACAGAATTTCCATCACACCTACCTCTATCCACGTTTGGCTTTAGTAAGTACCAAGACGATTGGGCAGCTGCGCTGCCGTCCACGAATGAGAATACGAATAAATAGCAGGTCCTGGCTTCATGTTTGATCTGCTAGCACGTCTCCCACATCCTCGTTATCGTCCAACGCTCCAACGGTTCGTGAATCTTCAGCACCAATTATATCCTACGTTGCGATTGGCACTCGACGGTAAAATATGGAGCGGCCAATCAAGTCGACGCATGTCTTTGCTCGTTCTGTGGTGCGGTATCACTCAACCACGGCATGTCGTCTTTTCAGGGTCCATGAATGCCTATGGCGCTGAACTATGGTAAAGAAGCGATGCGACACATCTCGAAAAGTCTTTTAACAGTCGTTTAATTTCTAGTCTCTTTCGCATTCACTCTCAAATCTCAGTCAAACAGTTTCCTTGGTGACCTCAGCTCTCAACGATCAAATCACCACTAACATCTCCTTGTGAACGCATATCACGAGCACTTACTCCCCGATTTCCCAAGTCCTCTTGCTCGACCCGCCTTCATGAGTGAAGACTCCAGTATCGAAAGGCGAATCTTCACAGAATTGGCAGCATGGAACAGAAGCCACCCTGCTCCAACTCAACCACCAAATGAAATGGCTGACCACCCCTATCACCGCTCTGCTGAAGCGGCGCTCTCAAGACTGGCCGATTTCAGGACACAGAATCCTCTTCGTTTCATGACCGCTCCAGCAGTCCCCTCGCTATCTCCTGGCCTACCTTCTCCGTTGGTGTCGCCAATCACATCTATACCGCAGCAGTCGTGGCCAACACCAAATATGCCCCAGTTTCACCCTTCGCGCATGAACATCCCACCAACGGCGTATGCTCCAGCATACGCTTCCGCCCATCAAATATCGCAAGCGAGCCACATGCCGCCCCTTGCTACACAGCCGCTCTCTCTGCGACCACCCGAGCCGCAAGCGTACGAACCACTGGTACATCCCGAACCGCTCGTGTATTTGACTTACAACATGGTCTACGATCGAGTTTATTTGGTTCTTCGGGATAACCTGACCGAGTGGTGGACAAGGAATCCAGATGCGCTACAGAATGTATCCCGTAAGTCATCTCCTCCGCCCTCCATGTCCCATCTCTTTCACTAACGCGATCCGAAAACAGAACGTCTGGCTGGTCAAATCAGATTTAGCGGTCAAAGGGGTATGTTCGGACCAGATGGCATCCACTCACTCAACCGAATCAACATGTTTATTGGACGAGAGGGTATCTACCGCTACCTTTGTCTCGCCGTGCTTCCAAACCACGGTGAATTGTCGATCCTCCTCAAGGGCGACCTTTGCGAAAAGGACGGAAACGATCCCATGTACGATGAGGAGTTGCTGGCAATGTGTAAAGAGGGCTTTGATAGGGGCGCTGTGAGGCTGCATGCAAACATCGTCGTGCAGGATGAGTTGAGGCGGGCCAGAACAAGTAGCCATGGGGTGGCGGTGCAAGAGTAATTGACATGGGGTGCGAGTAATGCTGGGTGAACCAAATCTGTGAGAATAATGTCGGCGCTCGTAGGTATGTTAGCTCTCTTTCCTAATGATGCCAATGTATGATCGTCCGCCTCAGGAAAGGCAGGGTAATGGTCTATATTCATAGTTCCTGTATCGTGATTGTTGTAGTTGGCCGAGGGAAAGATGCCACTGACAAGTGTTCGGGTATTTGCTCAGGGGATTAATGGCACGCCTGAGAGATCTGTGGGGTCAATGATCTTGTGATTGGTTGGCTCGTAAAAGCACGTGATGACATCCCGTCATGGATGTCATGATTGGCTGCGAGCGGTTCAGAACACCATCGCGCCTGCATCCTGTACCTCATCCGATAGAATGTTCTCACGCGTCCTCGTCATGGACGTGTCCTCTACCACTACCGTTGCCCTTGGCTCTCATCCAGCATGTCGTCCCAGGGCGGTGTGCGGGTTCAGTCTCGCAAGCGCAGTCCTAAAGTGAAAACAGGCTGCCAGACTTGCAAGTGCGTAGTAGGTGCCTTGACTGTTGCCAACTTCGACTAATTGCATTTAGAGTACGACACGTCAAGTGTGACGAGACCAAGCCGACATGCCTCAAGTGAGCCCTTACATCTGTATTTGCAGGTTGCCACAGTCGACTAACGTCGCTAGGTGTACGAGTACCGGCCGCAAGTGCGAGGGCTATAAATCAAGCGGCGGTGCCTTCCAAGTCCACATTTGGAGTCACAGCCAGGCATCCGGTCCGCAAAACGCGATATCCACCTTAGGCAACCTTGGGGATAGCGCACGCTTCCTAGAGTTCTATTACCACTGCGCCCGCCCTGCGCTGTCGACTAGTTTCGACAAGGAATTCTGGTCGCGCATCGCAATTCAGATGGCGCATTCGGAGCCTGCTGTGCGTCATGCATTGGTGGCTCTGGGTGCTCTCTGCCAAGCTGAGCCAGGTGATATGAAGCATGCATGCTCGGGATTAATTACAAATCGCGATCGTAAGGTCATGCTGTCACACTACAATCTAGCTATCAGATGCTTAGTCGATCGCATGAGGGAGACCACTTACTCGCACGAGCTTGGCCTTGTCATTTGTCTTCTATTCGTTTGCATCGAATTTCTCCAAGGCAACTATCACGCCGGCCTTACCCATTTGAACAACGGCTTTAGATTGATAGCCGCGCGCCGACGGGGACTAGCAGGGTACCAGAATCATTCAGCAGGCATTGCTTCACCTAGCGGCTCGAGATCTTCACAGAGTGCGATCGAAGAGACAGTTGTCCCAATCTTCACCCGCGGCATGGCGCAAGATCTGTTGTATGGATTCAAGGCTATACATGACTTGGAAGTACCAAGTCCAACACCAGCGATGTACAGTCGTACACAATTCCAAAGCTTTTCAGAAGTGCAAAGAGTCTACTTCGAGCTCCGCAACGCGACTATCGTCCATCTGTATATGATGGGTCGCAAAGCCATCTTTCGACAAGAGCCTAGCAACGACGCTTATGATGAAAGAGACAATCTTGTGGCATGTCATCGTATCTGGTATGAGAATATGCGGCGCTTTGAACTCCACCACAAGCTCTCCGATGAAGAGAGCATTGCTGCTAGCGCACTCAGAGCCTCTTACTACACTACCCTTATCTATGTCTCATGCTCAGCAAGCGTTATAGAGAAAACTTATGACGCTTACCTGGATGACTTCAAAGAGATAGTACGTAGCGCCCGGGAAGTCATTGATCTCACACCGCCGGCAAAATCCAACACCGCTCATTTTACACTCGATATTGCGATTATACCACAGCTGTTCTTTGTCGCAACCCGGTGTCGCTGTCCCACCACCCGGCGAGAAGCAGTAGCACTTCTAGAACGTAATCCACCCCGCGAAGGTCTGTGGGATGCGCAGCAACACGTCGTAGTGTCCAAACGAGCGATTGAATTGGAAGAAGCTGAAGTTGACCCACGTACCGGCTGGCCGGTCGAGGCGACGAGGCTATGGAACTGTGTCCCGAAGGCCGGGATGGACCACTTTGGTGGGTTTTGGGTGGCGTTCATCCCAGCACGATGGGTTGGGATACTTAATGCGGACGGGACTCAGAAAACCTTGTACGAGTATCTCGTCCTGTAATCATGGTTTGATGCAAGGAAGTTTTCCAAAATACAGATCTGTCATTCTCGGCATCCCGCTTTCGCTCGTTTGCAATCATGGATTTTGCTCAGCATCAAGTATCGTTATTATGACAACGAAAACAATCCTACCAGAATGCTTGCAGAGAGTAACGTCAATATCTATCCCGTGGGGCAAGAAAGCTACCATCGGTAATGTTACGTCTGCCATCACTGCAATCGCAAACGAGCAGCAATGCTCAAGGGGATAAGCGGTGGAGGTGCGCAAGACATCGCAGCAAGCACAAAAGCATATATAAGCTTTGTTCCTACTATAGTAAAGTGTCTGCCATTCATTATATACCAACTCAACACAAGAACAGTCAGCTGCAAATAATGGCCTCCAGTCCCATCCGACAAGCATTCGAGAAGATCCTAACAGACAAGAAGAATCGCGGCCTTCCACCACTCGAGGCTGAAGATTATGATCAGTTCCTCGGTAAGTTGCTTTGTCATTCGCACCTCTTTGAATTCGGCTGATACCTTCTAGCCGCCGTCTCGTCGCTCCTCGCAAACCCAGCCTTCATCGACGAACATAGCTGGCAGACGCAGACACTCGAGCATTCTATCAGCCGCCCCACCTTCAATGCGGTGATCAAGGAAGATTGCGAGACCAAGCTTGATGTCCAACTCGAAGTGGGCGAGGAGCTCGATTCCACTGGCAAGGTAGTTTTTGTGGGCAATGTAGTCCGCATCACTGTAGATGGGTATGTACTGGCAAAGGGCAGGAGCACCTTGTGGGCCGCTGATGCGCTGCTACTTGCACTGAAGAAGGTTGTCGCGATTGCGGGGCAGTGGGAGTGATCGGGTTACGAGATACATCGAGATTCTTGGCGTGTGCTGGCTATCGTGACTTTCGATGTAGTGTCCTCCTCTGTTTGTGCCTATGAAGCGAAGCTGGATAGGTGCGATCCTATCTGATAGCTGCGGAGTAAATAAAACAATAATGTATGAAATATCCTATAAGCACTTTGCTGGTGTGCGTTGAGGTCAGCTGGACATCCCTTTGTTGTAAGTTGCTTGTAGCTCACATAATGATCATCAGGACCGCTTGCCAGCAAACGAAACTGTTGTATAAGACGCTGACCTCGTCTGCTACATGTATCCTTATACGCAAAGGCGACCGCGAAGTCTTGGCATCCATGGACGAAAGAGCAGACAACATCCTAATTCAAGATCGCCTCGACTATATCCGCAGAGCCCAGAACCTTCCAATCTTGACGCCAGAGGATCATCGGATTTATCAGTCTTTCTGCAGTAAGTATAAGACATCTATCATCCTGATACACTCTTAATAGATGCAAAGGGGACATCATCTATCTTTTCGATGTCGGAAGGGAACATATACCTGCTTACCCATGGACACTCGAGGTCGGCGTCACTCCACTCCCCGCTGGAGCAGATCTCCTCGCCCCAGTCGTTAGTCTGAAAGAAAGTGGGAGCTCGCGTAAGGAAGATGCTGAGAGGCAGAAACAACAAGATCCTAACAAACTTTACCCCAAGGGCTTTGATGCATCCAAGAAAGAGAGTGTGGATCGCATTGATATCAAGGTTCAGCCGCAGTGGTTCGACAACAATGGAAAGACTATACTATTGGGACACGATGCATGGATTCAGGTCGACAATCTAATTCTCCAAAAGGTTACGGTCACCTCAAAGCAATCTCAGAAAGATGCGATGAGGAAGCTTTTTCGGGCGACAAAGGATCTGACGTTTCGTCATGATGTGTTCTGGTAGTACGAGAATTTGGATCCGCAGGACTGTGACGACTGGGATCTGGCGACCTGAACCTGGCTTGATGAAAGAAGGGGGAGCTGGACACTTGCAATTATCTAGGACTAGTGTGTGTCAAAGATCGTAGTGGTTGCTAGCTTGAAAAATCAATTTTCGCAAACATCGTGGCACGGTCATCCGCCCCTGAACCCTTGCTTGATATCATGATCAGTTTGTCGGTTTTCACAGCCAGCGGTGGGCAGGCCACACGGACGCGGCCACGGGTAATGCTTGACAGCAAACATAGGTAATGTTTAATAAGCGTGGTGCTACAAGTTGCCAGCTTTAGCTGCTTGCAGATCGAAGCAAAATTCTAAGTTCCATGGAGAAGAAACAATTCAACGTCAAATCCCTGTCGCCTCTCGAGGCACTCTTGATGGGAAGAGTGACAAACTACGGGCTTCCTGTCCTGGCACTGAAGGATCGCCAGAGGTTTGTTGGTAAAGTCAGCAATTCTAAAAGATAAACACATGGTTAACACTGCACAAAGATGATCTTGTCTACCTCCTCGATACGAAGAGGAAGAATATACCGTTCTACCCTTGGAAATGCGATGATAAAGTCGAGACAGCACGTATTCCGTCAACTTTACCTGCTCCGGCCCATCCACCAAGTTCGCCGACTTCCCTTACATCTCTGGATGCATATGGTATCAGTCTACCTCACAACGCATCTACAGATGCCACCTATCCGGCCGATTTCGACCCATCCGAGGAACAGAATCGCGATCGTATATTCGTAACTATGGGACAGCAGGACGTTGGTGAGTCCTTCAGTGATTTGGAAAAGGAGATATTCGCGGACATGCCTTGGGGATACGACCATGTTGCTCGGCTCAAGGTTGATGAGTACACACTCGTGAAAGGAGCGGCAGAGGATTCTGAGGAAGAAGCAATGAGCGAGCTGTTTAGACACGTAAATCTCCTTGCTAACGATTATCGTCGGATGGAAAAGGAAGCAAGCTAGACGTATGAGAAAAGGGTAAAGATAAGGAAAGTAAAAGAGATACGGGATGCGGTATGTGAGATGTTGAATCCTGGTGCGCATCGTCAAGAGCAATGGCTGCTAGGTTGATGTGAGAATTCTACGAAGTCTATCGGGTAACACACCCTCCACCTCATAGTGAAATGAGATTCAGCAACGCCGACGTGAGAATGAGACTGGTATAATGGGAGAAGTGAAACATAGCTTGATCATCGTTCGACGGGCATAGCCCCCTCAGAGTGATACTCGCCCCACCCGGACTACCACAAGGACTTCGCTAACCACGACCTTTGGCTCCCTCACTCAGCGTGATCACCGAAACGGGTACAAGGATCTACAAAGAATACTGTCAGACTCGACGCAAGAATCAGACCCGCGACAAAGATGAAACTCCGGCTCGTCATATCACCACGGCGCGCTCCCCTAGGAGATCTATCGCGTAACCATCTCCAGGGTTTGCTCGATGAGTTACCGGGCAGATTGCCATCATACAATCGAAAGCAGCTTCTGGGTAAGTGGCCATGTCCGTAAAATTGTATGGCTACTAACAGCGGCTGAAGATGACCTTTGCTTCCTCTTGCGCAGCCCTCTCTTCCTCTACGCCATAAGTCCACGATTACGTCACGCGACAAATCCGTTGAGGGTCGACGGACTGATCAAAGCAGAAGATATCAACATATACGCGCTGAATATGATGATCGTACGCGACGACAATAGCTGGGCGACGCAAGTACTATACGGCGGAACTTCACTCATTGAGGGACGGCAATACATAACGACGGAACAGGCCGGCTATGCGCAAAGCTTCTACTGGTTCTGCGACGAAGTGAGGTTCTTGAGCTGTGAGTTTCACGCTCGTGAGCTGGCCGCAGCGGAGGCGCTGGGTACTGCTGTCAGTATGCAGCCGGCAGTGGTTAAGCCGGTGCAGGTCGATCTCCGACAAACTCGTGCCAGGGCTGCGGCCCAGAAGCAGCGTCGTATCGTCAAGCTGAGGATAAGGTACCACATGATCCATGGTAGACCAGTTCTTACGAAAGAGCTGAGGTAGGAGAAGGACGAATGAGGCGCGTCATGGCAGGAAAGCAGAAGTCGAGCTGGTCTGTTGCTTGGATCGAGTCAGTCCTAGAACACGTTCCAGCATCACGATATGAGAGAGCAACTCAGTAAGGTGTTGCGCGAATGATGTTGCGGTGTGACTTCCGCTGGAACGGTGAGAAGGTGTGCCCGTCGATAATGCACAGTGCTTCTATCTTTTTGTGATCAGCGCACGGGAAAACTGAACATGAATACACCACATCTCGCCATGCACATGCATAACATCATCGTTGATATGAGCATAAAGCCCATAGGAGGAGCAAGAAGGATCGCAACTGCTCACAACGATCCTCACTAACACCTCCAACGTGAATGCGATTGTTTTGCTAGTCCCTCTCATGTCCAAATATCATCGTGAATGCCTCGGTAGGTGTCTTGCTGACATGCAATAAATCCAATTTGCGATACTGCCGCCATATGTTCTTCGTGGATCTGGGTGAAATTTTGCGAGAAGTGTTCAACTAGGCAGACATAATGTGTCGTGCTTCATTAGCCAGCACCGTCTGATGGATAAAGCTTGGACCCCGAGATTCTGCCGGAAAGCCCCACACGTGAGAGCCGTGCAGCGCTACGCGAGGTCACGAGATTCTTAGCGCGCCAAGGCCACAACGTCTATATAACACCGCGCTCCCTCGTCCTCCTCTTCTGCTCCTTAGCTCTCTTTGCCTTTTGGCTTAGATCAAGTGTAGTATCTGTTCTTTTCAGTTTAATCTCTGAAACTTTCCTACGGGAAAATTCAAGATTATTCTTATTTTTGAAACCAGCCGGAGAGGCTCTGGGCTTGCTCATCTTCTCTGGCACAGTGTCGCCAGTATCACACTACTTCTGGCAGACGCGAACCTACCTTTTCATTGAGTGTTTTCGCTTGCGAGAACCTTGAGGAAGAAGTTCTTTTGCGTGATCATGTTTGAACGAGTCCGTAGCTTGGGTGACATGGTGCAGATAGCAACACTCATGTGTGTCGTGACTGAACCATGTCTCAGTAGCAAGTAATGTCAAACTCCAGCTCAGATGTATGGCTTTGTGTATAGTTTGCGGTCGTATAAATGAAGCCGCGTTTCTGTGTAGCTGGGTCGGTGGCGCGTATATGCACCGCCGCTCCTCTATATAGATCATGCCATGACGCAAGGATAATTAGCTCATGAGACGTAAAGCTCTGCTCTTTTGTTCTGTAGATACTTTCTGACCGACCGGGAGCCCGAAATGCGCACTTGCAGTGAGACAGCGGCAACTTTGCGTGGTGAACAGTGAGAGGCCGAAATTTCGTAGCTTGTCTTGACGAACAAACAACGACATCACCTACACAATCTTCTTCGCAACAACACCTCTACATCTATTTACACTCCAAAATGGCATCCAAGTCAGGCATGGTCAACCCGGCCATCTTCCAGGATCTCCAGGCGCGTGTAGACGAAGACACCGCCGTTCGGGATGTGAGTGACGCCTGGTAGAGCTGCACGTGACAGCGTACTCACAACGCGACAGGAGCTGCGCGACATCATACAGGCACTCGAGAAGCACAGTGGGCACCTCCAAATCAGTGCATAGGCTTTTCTAACAGATCCCAGACCGTAATGTCTCGTTTGTGCTGTCAAGAGCCCATTCGACACCGGTGAACGAGCGTGAGTGGTATGTCGCAGGTCCAGCAATATCACGCCTAATATGAAAACAGTACCCGATATCCTCAAGGCTTCTCAGGAGCCGATTGACAATGTGATCGCCACTGTCGGCCAGCTGTCGCAGGCTGCATCAAAGATGCCATACTACAAGTTCAACAACATGTGGAGTCGTCAGATGCAGGGCGCGGTAAAGCCCACCAAGCACCCAAGACCCACGACGACGAAGCTGACGACATAGCAGTGTGAGAGCGCTTTGTTCTGGGGCTGGCTCGGCGGCTTCAAGTATGATGGCGGTGAAGTACAATGCGGCCGTCTGTTGACCATCGAGGAGCTCGGCGAGATCTTCAAGAGTATGCTCAAAATCCCGCTTCATATGCGCACGGCTAACGCGGCCAGTTCCCGTAAACCTCAAAGACCGCGATGAGTTCCATCTCTCGCTCGAAGAGTATCTTCATTCTCTCATGACGCTGGTTGAGGAATTGACACGCCTGGCACGTAACGCGGTCACGCTCGGTGATTACGAGCGCCCGCTTCTCATCAACCAGTTCGTCAAGGATCTGCACGCGGGCTTCCAGATCCTCAACCTCAAGAATGACAGTCTGCGCCGCCGTAGCGACGGTCTGAAGTACAGGGTCAAAGATGTCGAGGATGTAGTCTATGATCTGTCGTTGAGGAACTTGCTACCTAAGAAAGCAGAGCAGAAGCAGTGAGAGGACCGCAGGGTGTTGCAGTAGGAGCGCTGCGTCCATCGTCACGAAGTAGATACTGGTCTCATGGAATTCAGAAGCCGAAGCGAACAACGGCATTCTACATACAAGACTAGTAATCTGTTCTTCCCCGAACGCTTGTAGTCCTTGAAACAAACCATGGAGGTGCTCGAGTGGTGATGTGACGTGTGTCCAATGAGCGCGCAGCACGGACAACATCACGAAAGTTTCCGACCCGCGACATCCCTCCGCAACCACCGCGACTGCACCAACCCAACAGGCCAGGCGCCACTTCCGCTCCTTTAGATGCCCATCGTAGAGCCTTGCCCTGCTAGTTGATATCCGCATCGTACTGACAACGCCGCACACGGCCGATCCTCTTCTTTCATTCACAAACATGGCCAGCACGACTGTCATCAACGCAAACGCGACATCCAAGGTCCAACCTTCTACCGCACCGCCAATCGAGCCATTGAAGAATGACATGGCACGCACCTACACGCACATTCACCCGCTTCTTGTCCTTTCCGTCTATGGCCTCAAGTTCAATGCATTGGTTGCCGACCCGGTATCGACGCTCTTTAGCACGCTTCCGTACCTCGCCGTGCTACAGATAGCGTTCGTGGCTGTATGCCTACCACCAACTGGAGGCGCACCCAAGAAGCCCACCGAGAAGAAGGCCAAGGCTCCTGGCAAGCCGGAGCAAGGGGGTAACTCGAAGCTTGTGGTATGTGTACTCTACGACTTTTACACCTTACACTAGGCCTGTTACGGCCCATGTTCGAGAAAACAAGACTGACAAACAGTACAGCCGGCATTCTTGTCCCTTCTTCTTGCCCTGATCGCTGCAACACCGCTCCTGACGGCTACCCTCGTCCTCTTCGGCGCGCCCGTCTCCTCGCATTACTGGCATACTCTCCTTTGCGGCGCTCACATCGCGCTTCTCAGTACACTGCCCCTGGTATACGTACACGGTGTAGACGGCGAGACCTGGAGGCAGATTGTCGCGCTGCTTCTGCCGATTGATGAAGTCTACGGAGGATTGATTGGCACTGTGCTTGGCGCATGGCTGGGCGCTGTGCCTATTCCATTGGACTGGTGAGTACTTCTACACATGTCGACACCGGAACACATGGCTAATCGACTACAAGGGACCGCGAATGGCAAAAATGGCCCGTCACCATCGTTACAGGCGCTTACATCGGATACGCAGTCGGCAAACTGCTCGGTGGCACGCTCCTGAAGGGTACCAAGATCATGTTTGATTAGGTGCTTCGGACGGTGGTACACTCTTGAAGGATATCAAGATCATGTTTGACTAGGTGCTTCGGATCACGAAGGGTTATGCTCTTGTGTTCCTTCATAGGTTCCCAGGCTTCTGGATGGTATGCAGGACATGACAAGTCGTTGTGACCGTGGCATTCAAACAGATGGTAATGGTTCTGTACTTTCGCAAAAGAGGCCTTCTAAGTTGCAGACGCGATGGCGAGTGATCAGGCCCGGCTACCTATAGCGACGACGTCAATAGGGTCAGCTCGCCCAGACCAAACAATTATTTTCAAACTTGTGCCAAAATCATTGAAGTTTCCAAATTCGATGCCATTTTCCTGCTCCAAGAGACGAAATGTGGACACTGTAGGTGCTGATGGCGCCTCGAGGCGAGGCGTAATATCTTGTTGCTCTCGGAGCTTCGACCGATGCGAGCTTCCTCCACCAAGGCCGAGCTTCCACCCGGCATTCCTAAAGCAGCAATCCCGGCGCAAACACATCAAGCTCCCCAGGTTACAGTAACCCACCTGTATTCCACTTGACTGAATGCAGTATACCCAAGCTGCGAAATCTAGGTTGATGAAGCTTCGGGTTAATCTGAGCGCGTAAACGTGCCATTAGACGCGTATGAGGACCGAAAAAATGACATGACGGGCGTGATGGGGTGCCACGAGCGGGGTCCGCGGTCACAATGTTGATCGAGGCGGGGGATGCGGGGGATTGTTTAAAAGGCACGATGGCCGGCTGAATTGATGGCATGTCGCGTGGCTTGGTCTCTTATATCCATCCTCAGAATTCTGAGCTGTGTATATCTTTGTGTGTTCGACATATTTGAGGTATGTTGTCCCTTCAGCTACCACTCCGGACTACAACTGCCAAATAGTATACGGCATAAGTCTCACTCGCTGACAACCTCAGATCTTCACGTCATACACATCCGGGCGCGTCTTCAAGATGTCTAGAAAACATTTCTTCCCCAATCCGGAAGGCGTGGTCCTCCACAATCTCCGCTCGCTATGCACACGCAACTCCCATATGGCGCTCGACGAGGCCAACCGAGTCGTTTACAATCTCTCACACCCTCCGGACCAGGTCACTATCGTATCTGGTGGTGGCTCAGGCCACGAGCCGGCGTGGTCTGGCTTCGTCGGCGATGGCATGTTGTCAGCTGCTGTATGCGGTGACATCTTCGCTTCTCCCAGCACCAAGCAGATCATGGCTGGGATACGGAATGTGCCGAGTAACGAGGGAGTCATTCTATGTATAACGAACTACACGGGAGATATGCTACATTTTGGTCTTGCTAGAGAGAAGGGCCAAGCATTAGGATACAAAGTCGATGTTGTATGCATGGCAGAAGACGCCGCTCTGGGTCGCGAAAAGAGTGGCAAGGTTGGAAGGAGAGGCTTGGCTGGTAACTTGCTAGTTATCAAGCTCGCTGGCGCCGCATCACAGAAAGGCTGGGCTTTTGAACGGTGTAGGAAGATTGGCGAGTTAGGTAACTCGCAATTGGTCACTATCGGGACGAGTCTCGATCATTGCCATGTTCCAGGACGAGACGCGTTTGAAAGTGTGCAGGATGATGCTTGTGTAGTTGGTATGGGTATTCATAACGAGCCTGTAAGTCCCTTCGACTCGATTCAAGCTATACAAGTGTCACAGGCTGATTGATGCTAGGGTCTACGAACCATCTCCCCAATGCCTAGCCCCGAAGATGTCATCAAAGAGATGCTCCGCTACCTCCTCGATCCATCCGACTCCGACCGCGCATTCGTAACCTTCAACCCCAACGATAACGTCGTCATGCTCGTCAACAACTTCGGTGGCCTCTCAAACCTCGAATTTGATGCCTTGGTGAATCTCGCTTTGATAGCCTTGAAGCGCGACTGGAAGATCGTACCAACACGCATCTATGCTGGCGTACTAGAAACCTCCCTCAACGCCCAAGGCTTCAGCATAACACTAGGCAATATGAGCGGCATGGCAAAGGCTATGGATCTCAAAGACGAAGATGTCATGGAACTGTTAGACGCACCTACAAACGCTCCGGCATGGCCAAAAAACGGTTATCAACCCCTCAACATCAACAAGGCGACAGAGGAGCTACGCAACAAAGCCAACGCCGCTGCAGCCGACAAATCCGCGCTCCACAAGGGACCTGCTACACCACCCTCCCTCATCCCTGCTCTCCGCACAGCATGCAAAGCAGCGCTAGAAGCAGAACCAACAATCACACAATACGACTTACAAATGGGCGACGGTGACTGCGGAGAAGCTGTGGCCGGAGTATGCAAGTCCATCCTCGCCAACATCGACGCCGTGGAAAGCAACCCGCCACCCATCCTCGCCTTGCTAGAAAGCATAAGCGAGAATGTCGAAGATGTCGGCGGCTCCCTCGGTGCCATCCTGTCTATCCTCGTCACCGCCTTCACAAACGCGCTGTCAAAAGCTACTTTATCACAAAATGCGCCGCTGGATATCTCGACGCTGGCGTCTTCCGCATCGATTGCGCTCGAGAACCTGAAGAACTACACTAGTGCACGCGAGGGCGACAGAACGGTCATGGATGTGTTGATTCCTTTTATCAACACATTGGCTGAGAGCAAGGATTTGAGCAAGAGTGTGGATGTGGCGGAGAAGAAGGCGGATAGTACAAAGGATATGAAGGCCAAGTTCGGGCGGGCGACATATATTAGTGAGGACGGGAGCGAGAGAAGTAAGATTCCTGATCCGGGGGCGTATGCGGCTGGGGTTTGGCTGAGGGGGTTGGAGAAAGGTTTTGGTGGGTCGTGAATGGGAAGGCAAGTTGTCCAGATAGCTGAAGCAATTGATCACCACTTCTTTGGGAGGATAAGGAAGACCTTTTGAGATCTCGATATAACATAACGTTGAGATATGCGCACGTGCTCAGATATTAGTCCGCCTGCCTTAATACTAACACTGCAAACAGGTCGTGCTTGTCTACACATCCCCCAATAGTGAGGAGAAGGCCAAGAAGATCGCATCCAACATATCAAGTTTGGGAAATGGTAGCAAAGCGCACATCATACAAGCAGATCTCAAAGAACTTGAGGCTCCCACAGCTATCGTTGCGTTGACCAGGGAAGCATTCGGCGACAAGATTGACATCTTGATCAACAATGCTGGTGTACATCGGGCGAATCCCATTGGGTAGACAGCCCTTGAAGACTACACGGGAATGTTCGACATCAATGTTCGCGCACCACTATTTTTGATCAAGGCTGTGGTTCTACATCTTCGTAAGCCGGGCAGAATCATCAACGTACCATCCATTGGTTCGCGCGCCGGCCCACCCAACCTTTCCGTCTATGCCACGTCGAAAGCAGCCGTCGAAGGCTTGACAAGAAGTCTTGCACATGAGCTGGGAGATGAGGGCCATACTGTTGGCTGTGTTTCTCCACAACCGGTAGAGTCAGACGTGCTGGAAAACCTGCCAGAAGAATCGAGAGATTATGTGTTGAAAGGTACGGCGGTAGAGCATCGTGTACGAACTGCAAATGATATCGCGCAGGTTGTATGCTGGATAGCAAGTGAAGACTCAAAGTGGATCTCGGGACAAACAATATCGGCTTCAGGTGGTTTCGTGATGTTGTAGCAGTGTTTGGGGCTGCCGCCGCTATTTCTACTAGTGTCACAAGTGTAGATCTCTGGCTTTGTCTTAAGGTACTGGGTCTCTGCCGTTTAGCACGACAACGTAGAGTGAGATGGCGGTTGACAAGAGACTGTTTCGCATAGGAAAAGTACTTGCGCATGTAAGTAGGCACACAAGATATCTGGTTATCTGATACAAGATATGAGCACCGACGTCTCTATAGCTAAGATTCGGTATCAACAACCAATGACGTTTCCATTGTTGCGTCGCTCTCACGAGTCAAGCGGCTCTTCTCGTGCAAGACAAAAGCAGAAAAGCATCGATCAAACGCTCTGTTGAATCGCGATGACTAGAGATACACGTTGACAGTGTAAACAATTCCATTATTACTCATGCTATGAACTTTGCGTGATACCTGTTCTTTACCCGACCTACCTAGGTAGCGTCGACATCACACGTATACAACAGCGTCTCTGTGTACTGAGGCCTGGTGGTAAGCAGAGATAGAGGCTTTGTCGCATATCAATTGGGTGTGGTCGGCGGCAGTGTGTTCTCACGCTGGAGATCGAGCCAGCTGCACGAGGGCACCTCGGTGTCGATATTAGCAGGTAGAGAAGCTCTCCAATTATGACCCCACTCTTCCAACGTCCACGTGCGGCCCTGACTGACGAGCGACTCTGTATCCGGCATCGGGCCAATTTCAAAGTTGCAACTGACTGGAGATTGACCATTTGTCATCGCGCGCAAAGCTTCTGGGAAACCATCCATGATATACACAGCCCAATGCCTAATCTCCCATGAGTCTAGAGCGGTTTGCCAAATCCTACGGTCAGACAAGCACGCCTCACAAGCGATTTGCCATGCAGCATCGCGCTTGGCCACATCGAAGATGCGTGTCGATTGTGTCGGAGTGAGGTCACCATCTATGACCATGCGGAAGGACTGAGGCGGCATCCCAAGGGAATGTAGGTACATCACTTCCATGATCCAGCTGGCGATGCAGCCCTGGCCATGAAACCCCGACGTGATCGAGTCGGCCTGCGCAGAATCGCACGGGTCTGGACGTGCGTTTGCAGATCGCGGATTTTCGTTGTCTATTAACAGGCCCGAGGCGTCTGGTAGTATCGCCTTCCAGAGATCGACTCTTCGCTCAATTCGTAGCTTTGGGTTGCGTTGACAGAACGGGATGAAGCCTTGCGCATGACACTGGGACCAAGCCACAGCCCTGTTCTTTTCATGTAATACAATCTTGCGGATCTGAAGTTGTGCAACTAAAGACATGGACTCCAGGAAGGATATTGCTACACTTGCTGCCGAGAATCGGTATTTAAACCGATCTAGATAGCGAAGTTCGTTCCATTTCACGTCGTCGACTCTGTTCTCAGTTCCTAGAACATGCTTCATGGCTATGATATCCTCTTCAGTTGGTATCTTCCATGGCACGTAATTGTACACTATAACTTCTCTGGGATCATCATATCCGCTTCCCTTTGGCGTCCACCCCCATGTGTTTTCTGTCAATGTTAAGAAATCCGGATGCGCTGCGACGGCGGCGAGTGTAGATGTGACGAATTGACGTGTCTTTGAAGGCGTGTCCTTCCAACATTCTCTCCATGGGTATGCGAAAACATATCCTGGTTCTGTTTTTCGGATCAGCGACGTATATTGAGGATGCTGTGCCTCCACATGGGCATATGTTGTATCGCCAAAGAGACCTGCCATACTGACTCCCCACACCAAGTAGCGAGTCTTCAATTCTTCCAGAATTCCCAGGAGAGCATTGAAGTGGCCAGCTCTCCTTTGAAGTGAATGGTTGTATTCAGATGAAAAGTGGAGCGTATTTAGACCCAGTGCTAGTCCGCAGGTTTCTTCTCGGAAGAATCTGCTTACAGACCTGAGAGCTAATTCGATGGGTTGGCCGCTTGCAGAAGTGAGTTTTCCAGTGGAGAAGTTGTATGCATAACCGCCCTCTACCTCGAAGTAGAATTTGTAAATACGATCCCGAAGCTCGCGAGGAAGGCCGAAGAAGTCTGCCATGGTTGTCGTGATACCGCGATGATAGTCAGGAGATGGGGGTCGAGATAACAAAATGTGTCGGAAAGTGTACTGCAAAGAATGCCAGCCTTTTCTACTTGCAGGATCTGGAGGCAGCAACCAGTTCACGTGAATGTGGGGCGTGTACCAGGCGTCACGAAGTACGTACCACGGACCGGTAGCCTTGTGGAAAGATGCTCACCGGCTACAATCCCTGAGCACCGAGTATTTGACTACCATGGGTACTGTTAACAAACATACAAACCAATACACAGCGCATGTCTAGCTCGATACCTGAAACTCAGCTTCTAAGTTTTGAAAAGGTTGCGCTATAGAGTCTCACTAGGTAAGGTTACCCAGGTAGCCACCTGGCCAGTCTAACCTTGGAACCTAAGGGAGAAATGAAAGCATCGGTACGCATGTACCAAAGCAACTTCGATGGCAGATCTTTTTCGTAGGTCTAACCACGCAGCTCGAAGGAAGCTTACGGAAGCTATGCAACTGCGCTATGATCGTGGTCGTAATCACCATCGTGCTGCAAGGCCGCACAAACATTTCTGTCGCTTTGCGGTTGAGGAATTGTAGATGTGGTGCAGCAGTGTTTGGGAAGAAGGGACGGGGAGACTGGTGGCTGGGACTCGGTACCATGTTTCACGAACGCAACCGCGGAACGGGACAACGGGCAATCCTGGCGTTCGGTCCGGGTGTGGGTTTGTCGATGCCAAGCCTGGGGATCTTCGAAAGACTGGAACCAGTGATCATCAAAGCTTTCCGATCTTTACCTGGACTGCTGCAATCAAGGTGTTCGTCCGCTTCACGGGATGATCGCAATATTCCATCCGTGCAGCGTGGATGTGAACAGTGTACCCATTCTGCGATATGCAGATCTTGGGACGTTCTACTAACAGGGTTTACGAAAGAAGAAATATCGCCCTTGGATATGCTGAGGCCGTGAGTTTTACAGATCGTCAGACATCTGTTACCGATCAACAAGAGTGTTATCAACAATGAGCTTGGATCGTGGAACGACCATGGTGTTGCGTCAAGACTGGCGTCAGTATAAGGCGTAAAAGCTGTGTGATAATGGAACGGGCCAAATCGTTACATGCGCATCACTTCGGTCGGCTTTGTCGTTGACATTATTGATGGGACTTTTCTATTAATTTGATTGACGTGCTGGTGATAAGACGCAGGCACAACGCTGTTGAGTTACACTGTATTGTATCGCAGTAGAAGTGTGTTCCCAAACACTTACTTAGCTTCACTGTATGCAGCTGTATATATCTAGGAGGGATGTTAGAGAGGGCGGTTGATGCGGGAACATGCGCGGCGCCGAAGACCTACCCTCATTTGGAACTTTCATTGATTGCTACCGAAGCCATGAATCCTAAACCCAGTCAGTGCTCCGTGTGCAGATCGGCTAGAGCAGGAGCCTTACTCATGTGGTTTTGGAGAGCCACCATGGAGCTCTCAGCTCTGGGTAGTTGTCGTGAAGCTCGACGTTGAAAGAAGAGTGTAGTTCTAGACACACATCAAGTCAGCTTGATGTGGAAGACAAAGATGATATGATTACCGACTCGTTGGAGAGAACCGTGGTTGACGGCAGGCAACCAGGGTTTTGAACCATGGAATTCGAATCTCAAAAAATATTTGAACATGGACTGCTGATTGGTCAGTGATGGAGTCATGAATCAGAAGTGGATTTTGTCATACCTCAAATATTCTTCTCCCAACTTCCACATCCCAATATCTCTAATGCAGGTCAGCCAGAGGCCTAAGCGAGCACCTCAAGGGCCGTATACCAAGCCTCATCGTCATACTCAGGCTTACCATCTTCAACATGTCACCGCAAATCATCACATGCGACCGTATCGCAGCTGCAGAGAGAATTGATCAGTCAACAGTCTCTACAAGTCTCGTCACTGAGGCAACTTACGCATAGAGCGCCCGGTTATAGAGGATTTCACAGTCCCCTC